AATGGAATAGCATGGCCACTATGCTGGAGTTTCAGGAGGGAAATGGGTGATCTGGGAACTGCTTTATAGTCTCTGTGTCCCACTACTCCCCAGTCTGAGTTCTTTAGGAGTCCCAGTTTTAGCACTGAAAGTCCCACCTCCCTGAAGCTGGTCTCCCAGCTCCTACTTCTCAGTGGATCCCATCCTGTGGAAAGTGGTAGAACGCCCTTGGTCTGTCACTCAGAGTGTTTGCTGAGGCATTCACTGCGGTCATTTTTTGCCATTATTTCTTGGAATATTTTCTCTGTCCTTCCTTCTCCTCTCCTTCTGTTACTCCCATATTGTGTATACTGGTGCACTAATGATATCCCACATTTCTCTGAGGCTCTCTTCATTTTCCTTTTAATTTCTATCCCTCAGCTTCTGTAATCTATATTGCTCTTCGAATTCACTGATTTCTTCTTCTGCCAGCTTAACTGTTGAGCCCCTCTAATGAATCTTTCATTGTAGTTATTGTACTTTTCAACTCCAGAATTCCTATTTGGTTTTCTTCTACAATTCTACTTCTTTATTGACAGTCTCTATTTGGTGAATCATCACTATCACACCTTCCTTTAATGGTTTCCTTTAGTTCTTTGAACATATTTATAATTGCCATTTTGCAGTCTCTATCTGCTAAGTCCAACATCTGGGCTTTCTTGAAGCATAGCAATGGAAGGGTTCAACCAATGTTCTGGAGCCAAAGCTGAAGGAGGACTCTGTAGCTGACAAGAGACGTAAAATCTGAGGAGGAACATAAGTTAAGGCAGGCGAGAGAATACAGACCGCTCTTCAAGAGTGCTCAGGCAGCTATTCAACAAAGCTTATGAAGAATTGAATTGCCTCCAATAAGGAAAGACAAGGAAAAGGAAATATAGAAAGCCTCTGGTCTCTAGAACCATGCCCCAGATGGATATGACATCTAGGTATCATTTTGGGTTCTATACAAATGCCAGGACAGCATGTACAACTGAACATTCTAGCAAAGGTTCCTGGGGAGGCTGTTGGGGGCAGGGTGCTGGGATCCTCCCACATCCCCATCCTTCTTTCCAGGCTGCAATGATACAAAGCAGACACTGGGTTTTGACCACATAAGCATCTTCTGAGGTCACAACACACTTCGCACTTCACAACACACTTTGTTCAGATGAACAAAGTTTCCTAAGATGGGGTTTTATATCTCCCTTTCTACACATCAACTTAACTGTTAATATTTCATAGTCACCTAAATTACTCATCAGCTTTCTGTATTGATTCTAACTAATAAATCTTCAATCATATATGAGGTTTGTCTGTCCATCCATGATTATTTGCTTATGTCAAATAGGCAGAACCTAGGGAAAATAAAATTTTTCTATTCTAAGTACAACACTAACTTTGATACCATGTGACAAAACAAGAGATCTCAGGAACTGAGTGGAGACTTCATAATGTTACAAGACAGTGTAAGTCAGAGAAGCACTATGAAGACAAGGATATTGCTGTTTTCATTTTAAAGAATAGGAACCTGACACCCAGATTAAGAGTTGAAGTCAATTGCTCATTTGCTGCTTCTTGGGAGAGTTAAGATTGGAGCTCATGCCCCCTGATGTGACCTGCTTTTTCTTGTTCAATAAGGAAATTATGAAATTATGATGTTGGAATAACATGTCACCAAATGGCCAAATACAAATAAAAATACTTCACCTACTGGCCTTTCTAATAATTTAGAGAATCTATTAGCATTTTAGATAGAAATTTGAAATATTGACATTTGCTGATAAGGTAAATTGGAGTTTTAAAGGAAGAGAGGATTGTAATTTCACACTTCTCTTGTACCTGTTAGGGAAAGGCAAACATCAGATACAGCTGGATCAGCTGCTGGCACCCAGTTCAAAACAAGCCTCCCATTTCATACTCTGGGGTGGGTTTGGGGAGATAAGAAAACAGGAGCACTAAGGCATCAGCAGTGCCAAAAACAAAATGAAGGGATAGAACAATGAAGCAAGGATGAATATCTAGAAGATTTTCAGATATTCCATGATAATTGCTACACTGTCAACACAAGCTTGAGAACAAAAAAGAGCAGAGGGAGACCATGAGAGAAGATGACGGTTAGAACAGACGGAAGCTGAACTGCTGTAAGGGCATGAGCTTCCAATTAGCAACCTGTAAGAAACAAACAACACTTTTGCCAGCATTTATAATGATTTGTGAAAATTGCCAGCATTTGGGAGTCTAGAGATTTTCTTCATCAAAGTATCAAGCTATTTCTTCACAAACTATTTGGAAGTTCTTCATTTATCCCTGACACGGAGAAATAATGTGAAGCGCTTAGAAAAAACAGGATGTGAACGTCCTTTAATAATTTCCTTCATATAACCTTTGAACTCACCTGTTTCTGTCCGTCTTCCATTGTCTTGCTCTGTAAAAGGACAAATGCTCAGTAACCTCTCCAATTCTGCACATCTAAAAACAAAGTAACAGCCTTCTCCAGCTTCAATGCCCTATTTCTGTCAATTCTCCTAGGCCCTCAAATTATCTTTCTTTTTCTCTTCCTGACATATTGAAGACGTCGCTGGGTCCTGAGAACTCTCCGTAAGATCTGATTCCCTACTTTACCCTCCATTCCTTCTGTTTCCAAATCCAGTTTAAAGCCTGCAAATTCCTGTTCTCTGCCTCTACTCCCCACCTCTTCTCCTGTTCCCAATAAACCCTGAACACCACCAGGTTGATTAATCTAAAAGGAACATTAAGAAGACCACATTGTATAGATGGGTCATTAGAATAAGAATAATGGCAGAGCACTTCTATGAGTAAAGACAGAAAGAAGTCCTTGAATAAACCAGAAAATTATTCCTAGAAGCATTTCACTTTCTATTCACTGTTGACAACCCTAGTACTTATTTTTATGACTCCTAGATATACTCATAATGATTGGCATCAGAACTTTACAAGGGGCCACTGTGCCTTTTTTAAAGGGGAAGTGTGGAAGAGCTACACAGAATACCTACTTCATAAACAAGCCGGGAGGACCCCCTAGTAGAAGTGAAAGAGGACGTTTTGTGGCTTTAATATTTTTTTAATTTTTTATTTATTGACTTTAGAGAGAGAGAGGAAAGGAGAGAGAAAAATCGACTTATTGTTCCACTTAGTGATGCATTAATTGGTTGATTCTATGTGCTCTGACAGGGGATCGAACCCTCAACCTTGACGTCTCAGAACAACACTCTTACCAACTAAGCTACCCAGCCAAGACATTTGTGGCTTTTGGGAAAACAAGACAGAGCTGAGTGTAACTATCATGAAGTCCTATGACCACAACACTGTTTGCTCCAGAAAGACCCACTTATGATCAATTATGGATGTTCAATTAGCATTTCCTAATTGATGACTTAGGTATTACCAAGCACAAGTTGAAACCTTGAGTTCGTAGGACTAAAACTATATTAACGCCTGTGATGGTTGGCGGAACCTAACACTTACCTAAAGAATGAACATCCTCTGAGCACTAAGTCCCACAAATCAGGTATTTGTGTAGATCCAATTGGATAACATCTTGAAAGAAACTGTGGACTCTGAGACCATCAGTATCTCTAGAACCTGCTAATTATCATCATCATCATTATTTTAGGTATTTAACTTAAGAGCTCTAAGAGAACAAAACATCCACACAGCCTTTCTAGAAGGAATAATCACATCGTTAGTCCTTTAATATGTTAGCTGTATTGTTAAGTGGCTCTTAAAACAACCTTGAGAGGTATAATGAAAAATTATGAAAGAGCAAGGACAATGAGTGCTAGGCCAACTCTTCCGACTCACTCTTAAGTAGGAAGCATCAACAAATTATATGCTTCTTGGACGTTTGGCTTACTTTACAAAGAGGTCTCTTTATTTTTTATTTTATACTTCCAGAGAACTTCCAGAGCTCCTTGTTCCACAAAAGATGTTGAAAGCTGGCATTCCAGGACACCCACACAGCCTTCATATCAGTTCAATCAGATCCGTTCAATCAAGCGCAGAAGTCTCCAAGGGTACTTATATCCATCCCGGAAGTGCCCAACAACCTGTCCTCACGTTGCAGTCACTAAACCGGAAACCACGATGATTTTTTTCCTAGCTGGTTGATGAATCATCCCCTCTTTGCCACCGTATTATAGGCAGTGGGACTAAACTTTCCCGGCATATGGTAGCATCTGGTTTCTTTTCTTACAGTAGAGGAGGCTGAACAGAAAGCTGTAGGAAGTGGGGTGCATGCTCTTGAGGGGTGCTGGGTTCACCCCACCTACCGATCTCCTATCCCCCGGGCTCCGTGGCCTCAAACAACGCCAGGGTCTGGACCCACGCACGTGTTATTTTCCTTCTTTCCATGAACCAGGCATAGTGATTCTGGTTCATATATTCAAACGAAGGGGTCGAAGAGTCACTATTTTCGGATTAGGGGCCGAGGCCCCATTCCCCGCCCCCCTGCCCCCGGCCAGGATAGGGGGGGTGGTAGTGGTGGTTTCAGGTTAGGTATTTATTTCCCAACAGCGCCTTCACTGGGGTGATCCCTGGGGAATCCAGTTGCAACGTGGACCATTAGGAAAAAGATCCACTCCCGAAGCCTGAGACAACGTAGAAAACGCCAGCCGTGTGGTACCCGCTAATCTAATCCCACTGTCCAGCCAGGAGCAACAGGTTCAACTGTAGCCGCGCGAAGTGGGAGGAGCCGAGTCGCGAGGGAAAGAGGGACTTAAGTCTTCGGACGACGGCTCTGGCGATTGGCTAACAAGACTGAACCGAGGCCAATGGCGAGGCGACTGGCAAACGTGACTCAAGACGAGACAGCTTTAGTCTCCTGACAACGGCCCCAGTGATTGGCCAGACCGACTGCGGCCAAGGCCAATGGCTAGGTACCTGGCAAACGCTCGTCGCGGCGACTGCGGCTGCGCCGAAGATTCGAATCGGCGGCGGGTCTGTCGTGTGGAGCTGGTGGGGCCGGTGCTGGCGTCTCTTTCGCCATGGACGAGCCGGAAAATGTATTCCAGTGAGTGTGGGTCGGATCCGGTTCGGTGGGTGGCCGGGGGGGCGCTGGAGCGCCTTAGGTTCCAGCCTGGGGTCTGCAGGTCCCGGCCCTCCCGGTCCTGTCTCCTCTGCCCCTCCCACCCCCTTCCTTGTCTGTTGTTTCCCCAAGCGTTCCCCATTCAGGCTGTGGGCCCCTCGGGAGTCTTGGACTGACTCTCGCCTTGTGTCTGGCGCACTCCGCCCAGACCCCGGCAAGTCAGAGGGCCGCGGCAAGTCAGTGGTAGTTTGGGGACAGCTGGACCGTTGTGAGGCCCTTAGAGCCCGTTTGTCCTCCTTGAGGAGCTCATTCTGGGCATGCGCCGCTGGGTAACGGACATCCAATCCAACCAAAACGGTAACCTGCACGTAGGTTTACTGAGAAAATTAAAAGGCCGCTCATTTAAAAAAGAGGGGGTGAGAGAACTTAAAATAGGTCTTACCCACCACCCCACAATCAACTTTTAAAACTCTTTGGATAACGTGTACTTTTAGATAAAAAGCTACATTTATTGTCATTGATGTCAATCTGATAAGTTTTTAAAATCCCCACACCTTTGCTCTATGACTTAGGCGATTTATCCCGACAGTTTCAAAAGCATTTAAACCAGTTTAACCTATGTGCCAGGAAGTCAAGCTGGTGAGTTTTGTCAGCACCAGGGGGATCTTACTCTCTGGAATCTGAAGACTGAGGTCGTTAAGTACAGTCGAAACAAAAATCTCTTTTCTCGAAGATTTTTTCTTTAGTCTTCAATCTAGCCAGCCAAAGGTTTCACTTTCAGAAGCTTGGTTTTCCCTCTCTTAAAGGAGAAATCAGGTATTTCGGGCATTTTGACTCTCTGAAAACTAACTTGCTATAATGAACTGGACGTTTTTGAATAGAGTGTACTTGGCCATGTTTCTAGGGAAATGAATGTGGTATCACAACATGAAATGTTTACCTTGGATCTGACATTGTAGGGATTTATTTACTATGAGGCATGAGGAAGAGATTCAAAATTTAGAAACAATTTTTAATTTTTAAAAATAACTAATATATTTATATAGTTACAAAGTATTCACTGTCTACTCTCCTGCCATCTCATTCTTAACCATTTTTCTAGTTTATTTTCCAAGTTGTTTTTGAAAATATAAATGTTTATATTTAAATAATATATTAATATATCTATATGTTTGTGTGTGTGCAGTTCCTACCTTTCTCTTACATAGGATATAGCAGAGTATATACTGCTGTTGTTTTTTTTTTACTTTATCTTTGGAGATTTCTCTATCAATACGTAGAGCTGTTTCTCATTCTTTCTTACAACTATATAATATTTCATGTATCATAATTGACCTTAATGGTCCCCCATTGGTGGATACTTAGTTGTTGACAGCCTCTTGCTCTTACTGCCCTGGTTGTGTGGTTCAGTGGATTGAGTACCAGCCTTAGGACCCAAAGGTCACTGGTTCAATTCCAGGTCAGGGCACATGCCTGGGTTGCTGGCCAGGTCCTTGGGGGCATGTGAGAGACAATGTATCTCTCCCACATTGCTGTTTCCCACTCTTTCTCCCTTTCCTCCTCTCTCTAACAGTAAATAAATAAACTCTTTTTTTAAAAAAAGTAAATCAATCTGTAATTTTGGTAGATCCTACCAATTACCTTAGCAAGATTGAGAGCACTCTCACCTGCAAGCAAGATGTGAGACTACCTGTTTCCATTGTTTACCTAAACACTGTTGTCACATTTTTGCCAATTTGGTAGGTGAGAAATTGTACCTCTCAGAGTGATTAAGTAATTTTCTGTGGAATGCCTTGTAATTCATTAAGTAATTCATTTTTTAAATTGGGTTGATTGCTGCCCCCCCACCCCACCCCAATTTCTGGAAGCTCTATTTTGTTATCCCAGCTAGTCATTTCTCTTTTGACTATGCTTGGTGTTTTGTTTATTTGACATGACAAGGAGAAAATCCTGAGATGTCCTGAGTTAGAAGAACTGCAAGCCGGAGGGTAGAAGGAAGGGACCAAAAGGGATTTAGTTAACAGCTACGGGCAAAACAGTGAAAGACTGCTTACACTCCTTAGTGTATGTTGGAATTATTAACTATTTTATAATTTAGCTATTTATGAGATTATCTAAAAAGAGAGACTAGGCAGGTGCCATGGAACTAGGAATTTCAGCTTCTTGTTTGCACAGCAGCTTTACAGACTTTGATGTTCCCATCCCAGAGCTAGCTTAATTTGCACTTACTCCCATCCTCTTTGTCTACAGCTAATGTAAACCCTTTCAGAAGGGCTTAGATCTTTCTCCCCCTATTTGTTGTATAAAAACACTTGGAGAACTCAGGGAGGAAAGACATATCTTTTTTACCCAGCCATGCTGCTGGTAATTTAGACTCCATGTCCCCAAACAGGTAATCTTTTTTGCTAGTGATGGCCTAATAAAAAGACTTTTACCCATGGAAGTTAAAATTTTTGTGTAACAGAAATGCAGCCTTTTATTTATATGTAGTTGACTTTAGCTTTTCTTTTGTGGCTTCTGGATTTTGAGTCATAAGGAGCATTGATTTCATTTGTATACTGAGATGATAGATAGCTAGAACTGTTGCTTTTAATTCCTCTTTTACCCAAAATCATGTAATTTCTCTGAGAGCAAACCTTTGAAGTCTTTCTTAGCCTTGACTCTCCTTCACACCCAGTGTGCAATCCCATCAGCAAGTCCCATTATTTCTTTCTCCAAAAACACTCCAAATTCCACACTTTCATTGTTCCACCCTGGTCCAGCTCATACCTTGTCACTGGAACTCTGAAGTAGCTTCCCACACCTATTCTCAGTTTCACCCCCTTTCTACCTGGAGAGACTGAATAGACATTTTAAAGCTCAAATTAAATCTTGTCACCTTCACCCTTCTAGTTCAGCATGGCTTCCTGGCAGTGATTAAACGCCACCCTTCAGAGAGACAGACAGGCCTTCCCTCACCACTCCATCTAAAATAGACAGTCTTGTCACACTCTTACCTCGTCTCCTGTCCGCCCCCCCCCCCCCCCGCCCAACTGCTTAATGTCACCGGACATCTTACAGGTTTCTGTTTGTGTGTTTTCCCTACTAGCAGCTGAGTGCCTGTGGAGAGGTTGCTTTGCCTGGTTGGTTTTTTTGAAGCTGTAGTTGGGTATGCAGAAGTAGGGAGCGAGCAGGGTTGCCTAGGAGCTAGTGTCACGGATTTATGAGCATTCCCATCCTGTGTTCTTCCTCAGGACAGTGTGTTCCATTGACGCTGGGAAGCAAATGTTCTGGAAACCCCTGTTGGTGGTGCTCTGGGCTCTCTTGTGCCTGCTCACAAGCCCTCTTAATTATTATTTTATTTTATTTTTCAATTGCAGTTTAATATCATTTTGCATTTGCTTCAGGTGTACAGAGTAGTGGTTACATAATCATATTTTTACAAAGTGCCCCCCCCCAATATTTCAAGTCCCCACCTGGCACCATACGTAGTTATTAACAATATTATTAGCTATATTCCCTATGCTGTACTTTACATTCCCAGGACTATTTTATAACTACCAATTAGTACATCTTAATGTGTTCCCATTTTTTTATCTAGCCATCCAACTCCCTCCCTTTGGCATCCATCAGACTGTTCTCTGTATCTGTGAGTTTGTTTTTATTTCACTTGTTTATTTTGCTTTTTAGATTCCACAAATAAGTGAAATCATTTGGTATTTGTCTTTCTTTGTCTGACTTACTTTAGTTAGCACAATACCCTCTAGATCCATCCATGCTTTCACAAGTGGTAAGATTTTATTTTTTATTGCTGAGTAATATTCCATTGTATGTATGTACCAAAACTTTTTTATCCACTTGCCTGTTGGTGGGACAAGCCCTCTTCAAATCTCTGTGCACCAGGTCTCAGCCACCCTCTTGAGCAGCAAGGAAAGGAGGGGGACTGAGTCATTTCAATGCCTGGATCCTACCATTAGGAGGGGAAGCAGCAAACTTGCGGGCACTGCCTCTTGGTGGTGGCAGTGGTGACAGTGGAGATCAGTGGAGGAGGAGACTCTTGGGGGTGGAGCTGGGCACTCTCTTCCAGCTGTGTCTTTCTAGGGCTAAAATAAAATGCAACTTTTTTGCTTTCAGGAACTATCTCTAATATCCCACATGCCTATTTTTCTCTTTTCTAGAATGTTTGAAGCCCATATGCAGAGCTACAAGGGCAGTGACCCTCTCGGTGAATGGGAAAGGTTAGCATTTAGTTTATTTTTTTCCTTTAAACAAACTATGTGTTGCCTTGAAAATAAATATTATCCATATTTTTCTAGTTATATGCAGTGGGTAGAAGATAATTTTCCTGAAAATAAAGAATACTTGACAACTCTATTAGAACGTTTAATGAAGGAATTTTTAGATAAGAAGAGATACCACAGTGACCCAAGATTCATCAATTACTGTTTAAAATTTGTAAGTATACTTCAGGTATAATCAAATCCATAATCATGTACTTTTGCTTTTTCCCCTCAGATTATAAGATTGCTTTAGGCTGTCTTTTAATTCCTTATGTTTCAGTCATAAATTTTAAAAGTTTTATGGTCAGAGATGTGTAATTTAGAACCTTTTGGCTTCTGTATTGTGGAGACAGTGATTGAATTTTAAAACCCTCTTTCTCTCTGTATCAGGTCTGTAAATGTTACAACACAAGGTAGAAACCAAATAAAAGAAGGTTTGTTGGAAGTGTGTTTGGGGAAGGGTTCCTGAGAATAAATTATATTCATTACAAATAATTAAGAAAATAAGAGCTCTCAGAAACTGAATTTAGTACTAAAAGTAGAAGGCTACCTCAGGTTAGGCTTTAAAAGTTTGAGACTCTTCAAACTTGAAAAAAAGTCTTGGGGACATGGATTCTAGTGATAAAATCATAAATGCAATGACTAGAATAAACATAGATTTATTCACCAAATAACCAAATACTAGGAGAGAGTCACCCTATGGAATTTGAGCAAGCTCAGATTAGGGCAAAAGTAATACTTTATATAGTGGATTATTATAGAACTTGCTATCTTAGGAAATAGTGTGGGTAATTATGGGATGACACTAAATGTCAAGGAAAGGAATGAGCTTGACTTTGAGCTCTGTCACCAGGGCTTTCCCCTAAGCAATAAGCCTGATGACTGTGGTTGGTCTGGGTCAGACCTAGACCAGAGGTTCCTTTGTTCTCACGTCTCTTTGCTTTGGGTTTCTGTAGGCTGAGTATAACAGTGACCGTCATCAGTTTTTTGAATTTCTGTACAACCACGGGATTGGGACACTGTCCTCTCCTCTGTACATAGCCTGGGCTGGGCATCTGGAGGCCCAAGGAGAGCTGCAACATGCCAGTGCCGTTTTTCAAAGAGGAATTCAGAAACAGGCGGAACCTGGAGAGCTTCTACAGCAACAGTACAGGTAGCTTGAAGATGAAGCTCTGCATGGCGTTTCCTGCTTTGAAATGTAGTGTTTGCTCTGATGGCAATGTTATCATCATCTCCTTGTTGTGGAAAATGTGGATAATACACAAGAGTGGAAAGGAAAGAAATTGCCCAGAAATAATACTGTTGACATTTTGGTGCGTTTGCTTCCAATGTCTTTTCCTCTGCCTCTGTGCCTTTGTCTTGTGTATTTTAACAGTAAGTTGTACTATAGGTCTGGTTTTATATACTGAGCTCTATACTGCTCTTATTATGAACTTTTATATACTTATAAAGTGGTTGTGAAATCTGTCCCAGAGTTATGGCACAATTTTTTTTACTGATTCTGGAGAGAGAAACATCTGTTTGTTGTTCCACTTATTTATACATTCATTCATTGGTTGATTCTTGAATATGCCCTGACCAGTGATTGAACCCACAGCCTTGGAATATCAGGATGATGCTCTAACCCAGCGATTTTCAACTGGTGTGCTGCAAGGATTTTTAAAACATGAAATACCTGACTATGTAGTCAGGGTAACTGACCTCTTTTCCCTTAGATTGTCATATTAAAAAAAATGACAATAGCCAACACAACAATAGTGGTCTAGTGTGAAGGAATCAAAATTATACCTGTTTCTTTTTTTTGAAGTCAGATGGGCAAAAAATACATTTTTTGATGTGCTGCAGAATATTAGCAATTTTAGTTTATGTGTGCAGGAGATGAAAAAGGTTGAAAATTGCTGATCTAACCATCTGAGATGCCTGGCCAGGGTCTAAGAGTTATGTCACAATTGAACTGTTCTCCAGTTGAACATTGTGATTTTTATAAAGAACAACAATATCTTAGTGAATAATTTTGTTTTGCACAATTTTTTACTTTTTCTGTGTTTAAATATACTTATTTATGGAATTTGAAAGATACAGAAAACTAAACAAGTAGAAGAAACCTTTTGGTATTTTAGTTGGCACTTTTCTCTGCTTGTTATAAGATTGCAGTCATGTTTTATACACATATGCAACTTTGTGTCAAGATCTTTTTCCCTCATCATTAAAGTGTCTCCTAATATGTTTCCTATTTTTAGCTAGTTCCTTCTGATAGATTCTCAGAATTGAGACTGTTGAGCCAAAGGGTATAAGAAGAGTTTTAAGGCTTGTGATACATATCACCAGATTACCTCCTGGGAAGGTTACACCAGAGTTCTGCTGGCCCCTCTTTAACAGCATATGAGAGAGCTTGCTCAATGCATCCAGCATTTAATATACTAATTTTTTCAGCTTTGCTACACTCTTCATGCTCTTTCTAATAATAATTTTGACAGCTGAACTTGTTTTTTCTGTGCAGAATTTAATGCATATCTAAGATAGCAAAATATTTTTACCCCAAACCCTTCCTTAAACATCTCTAAAAGGTGATTTCTTACAGAACCTTACACTGTTTTCACTAACAAAATTGTCAGTAATTCTTTGTTATTTAATTTTCAGTCATTCCTAACTAATTTTTTTTTAACCATTAGTTTGTTTGAATTAAGAGCAAATTAAATTTGTCATCTGGCTCCCTTTGGCTATATGTCTCTTAGTCTCTTCATACTGTGTACTCTTGTTCACATCAACCAAAAATGTCAGGTGTGGGCGTTTCATGTGACTTGACAGATTGAGTTGATGTGCAAAGGTGCTTTGAAATGACATAGAAGTTCTCACAGCATGAATAATTCTTCATCTGCCTTTGTAAGTAGTAGTCTTTCCCAAACATAATATTTATTATGTTCTAGGTGTGTAGAGTGCTTAAGTAGAGAGTTCAGACACCTCATGTTGGAACATTGGCACACTTGGTACATGGAGGAGAGGGTGCATTTGCTATATGGGTTTGAGAAATACTGATACAAACTAGGTAAACAGATGAATTTTCTAAAAAGAGTATATTGGGTATGAAGATAGTCCCTTTTTTAAAAAAAAATTTTGAAGCAACTCTAAAACTGTACTTTCTCTCTTGATCTCAGTCTTTAGTAGTTTAGAATAAGCTATTTATTGTATTTAGTTTTTGAAAATATGTCTTAAACTGAAGTTTATAATTTATATTGATTATTGATGACTGTTTACTGTCATTCAGGTTATTTCAGACACGTGTCACCAGAACCCATTTGCCAGCTCAAGGTAGAATAATGCTTTCTAAAATATCTAAATTGTTGATAATGTAGTCTCTTATTTGCACTGCGTTTTTTTCTCCCTTAAACAGATTTACCCAGTTTATTGATTGTATTGTCTTTAGTAATGGGGAAGGTACTCTGATCATAATAAGGCCCATCAAATAGCCCTGGAGATCAGGGACTCTGTCTTAGTACTTTAAAAGAGCAAATTCACAATCAAAACTTGGTGATTTCATTGTATTCTTATTATTTAAAAAAAAAATTAAGCTGTTCCAAATTTAGGACAGTACTTAACTCTAGAGTCTGTTTTGAATGGAATTAAATGTGTTTAATGCAACTTTAAGAGAAATGTTATCAATTTCTTATCTAAAAAGTCTTTTAGTTCCACTTTGTGAGACACTGTTGAATGAGCAGATTTATTTCATAATGCTACTAATTGAAGATCGCGGGAATGTGTTTGTAATAATTTTTAATATGGGTTTTATCCCTTGTCTCTTTATTTCATTACTCTCCCCCCACCCCCAACTGTGCCATAGCTAGAACCTCAGGACCTCTGCATAATGCTCAGATTTTGATGACATCAAAAACAAATCCAGGAAATAACTCAGCCTGTATTTCTAAGAATCAGGTAATAATAACATTTGTACAAACCAGGAATGGTATTGAAGTCATCTACACCTTCCACATCCTATGGCTCTAACTTCCATGTCATCCACCTGTGCCTGGCAGCATTCTGGCCTGCTGTCATCTACCACTGCTCACTTCCAATATTAAATTTAAATAATTTACTGACTGACCACATTGTCCTATATTTATCTGACCTAGACTCCCCCACTATGCAACCTCCTGTGTTGATAGGCTGAGAAGCTCCCCAGAAGCTTCTCTCTTTTGTTTTGGCCTTTTTCCCATAGGCCCAGTAACCCCTACCCTAAACCACACTCACCTGGGGGCTCCTGAGCCCTGCTTTAAAAACTCAGCTTCAAACATTGGTGTTGGTAGCGTCAACACGGGCTGTACTACTCCAGGCAATACTTCCACTTTCTCAGTCAGTCTTTATGCCTTATGTGTATCTCTTACGTTTCCCATTTCACCCTCTAAAGCCAAATTATAGTGAATTCAAACTTCTTTTCACATTCTTCAAATTTGCTACTTGGGCATGACTCTAACCTCTCCCTCAGGAGCTGGCAAAAATACTGTTTCAGTGAAAACAGCAGAAGCCATCAGATGACATCAGTCAATTTTTTGCCACAAACTCCTAAAAGCAACTGCACCCTTTCCTGCCACCTCAATGGAGAAAGGCAGCTTTCCACCTGAACTTCTCTTTTATTGTCCTCAAGATTTTTGCTCTATCAAGATCTCTTCTGCCTTAGTGGCTCATGATGTGTAAAAATGCTCATCTTCCCTTCGCTCAACCTTGTTTCTCAGCATCTTTCCTGGTACAACTGCTCTTTGAAAGTTTGCGGGGAACTCCTTTAAGCTAAATACAATGGGAATGGTTCTCAATTCACACAGGCAAGTTTTATTAATGTAACACATTCCTAGAAGTAGAATATGAATTTCTAATTTTGATAGATACTCAAACTATTCCAATTTATATCCTACACATTTGTGCCAGCCTCATTACTTCCTGTTGCCCTACGGAGTTTATTTTTTATTTTATTTTTTTAATTTAATAATTGTTTGTTTGTTTTTTTTCCTTTTATTACCATTTAGTCCCTTTATACCCCCCTGCCCCCGCCCCCGCTGAGTTTTTGGACAGCAGTTGATGGGCCTTGTTTACAGTCACATTCCCAGGACCTAGGTCAGGATATGACACGTATGAGGTGTTCAGTAAATATTTGTTTAGTGAACAAGTGCTAGTAGTGGAAACCTCTAAGGATAGAATAGTACCAGAAGAAAATCTGAATGGATTATTTTTAGTGTGACATTTTGGAATGTTAATCCCATAACACTTAAGCACTGTGGCCTAGCTCCTAGACTCTGGATTGAAGGGAAATAAGTGCCTACACTTCTCTCCTACCAAGTGGAAATTTTTAACATTGCTTCCTATTGGACTTTTAAAAGATTTTATTTTTGAAGGGTCGGGGAAGGGAGAGAGAAAGATAGGGAGAGAAACATCGATCCGTTGCCTCTCATGTGCTCCCCGACTAGGAGGTGAACCTGCAACCAAGGCATGTATCCCAGCTGGGAACTGAACTGGTGACCTTTTGCTTTGCGGAACAACGCTCAGCCAACTGAGCCTCACCAGTCAGGGCTCTATTGGACCTCATAGTTGCAAAAGTTATCATAAGATTAATAATGTAAAGTGAAGCTTCAGGTATTAATTATAATTTTAAAAAACATGAGTAAATCTGTTCAATGATGGAGAGGCCCTTTAACTGTTTTCATACTGTTTTGTGAAGTAATTTGGGTGATGGTGTTTTTTTCAGGTAAGTGAGTGCTTATGTTTCTTTTTTTTTTTGTCTTTTTAGGGTTCAGAAGTTTCTAAAGTAACATCGTCAGAGTGTGATAAAGAGTCAAATATGCAAGTACATTAATCTGTTCCTTAGTTTTTCCATCAAGACTGCTCTTGTACAGTGTTGTAAATAATATAATTTTCCCCATTATAGGGAACAAAGGGTGGTCATGATTTCTAAATCAGGATACTCTGCACAACCCTCTCTGGCAGCCAGAGCTGACGTTCAGCAGGTTGTTATGTACTGCAAAGAGAAGCTTATTTGTGGAGAGTCAGAATTCTCCTTTGAAGAGCTGAGAGCCCAGAAGTACAATCAACGGAGAAAGCATGAGCAGTGGGGTACTGTGGTCTTATTTGAGTTATTCTTATGTCACTAAAGTAATCCTCATTTCTAAGTTACTAACATTTTTAAACAGATAATTGAATGTATTGAAAGAATCTGCAAAAAACGTCTTCAGGTCATCCTATCAGAAGCCTATAGTTTTGTTTAGTGCTAGTATGGCAACTTAGTTGTTGAAGAGCTTGGAGATGAAACAGCTCTAAAGTAGATATCCATACCAGTGTTGTTTTAGCTTCTAGAGAAATAGGTATTTTAAAACTTGTAAACATTACCTGAATGAATTTGAACTTCTGTATATAGCAACTCTAAATCACTGGATCAGTTATTTGTACTGTGAAAGGATTAAGTTAGGATTTGGAGTTGAGAAGAGATTTTTCAAGATCTGCAATTACTACAAATACGACTTTAAGAAGGAGTCCTTTGATGAAGTGCTCTATATATTTATGGCTATGGAGTGGGCCAAGGTTTCCTCACTGGGAAAACTGAATGTTAACACCAACATTTGCACTTTTTTTACTATAATAATGTGGATCACAGAGGAAAATAAGCCTTTACTCAGGACTTACACCATCTCAGTTACTTGGACTATAGTCACTCTGTGAGGCTTTCTTTTTTGTTCCTTATTTATTGGGTTGACGCCTGAGAGAACAGTCAGTTAATATTCCTGGAGGACCCATTTTGTGCCATGCACAGATGCATTTTTCTATCACATACCAATGACAAAGTCTTAGCTTGGCAATTTGATTTGTATATGATATGGTTATGTTAAACCAGTCGTTTGAAGTGAGACTATCTGGAATGTGTTTGACGTACTGATTGTTTAGGACGTTTTAGTTTTATTTCTTAGGAAGCACCTAAAGATTTCTATTTTTTAAAAACTATTCTATTTTCTAATGATTTCTAGTCATGTTTGTTTTAGAAGGGTTTAATATCATACTGTGCTATTACCAGATACTGTTGATCAACATGTAAAATTTTTGTAATTTACATGACCTGAACTTAATTTTTTCTAAACTTATTTATTTTGAGAGAGAGAAAAACATCAAGTTTTGTTGTTCCATTTATTTATGCCTTCAGTGGTTGATTCTTGTATGTGTTCTGACCAGGGATTGAACCTGCAACCTTAGCGTATCAGAACAATGCTCTAACCAACTGACATACTCATACGGGGTCCACATGCCCTGAACTTAAAAGTAACCATGCTGATGACAGATAAAAGTTATAATTAAAAGGTGAATTCTATCAAACTTCACTGGTGAATTCTACCAAACATTAACAGAATAATAAACACCAAATCTTCTCAAGCACTTCTACAAAATAGAAGAGGAAAGAATACTTTCAGACCCTTATTATGATGTCAGCATGACTCTGGTACCAAGACCAGACAAGGACATCACAAAAGAATCACAGGGCCAGCCCTGGTCCTTTGGCTTGCTTGGTTGGAGTGTCGTTCTATATACCAAAAGTTTGCAGCGGATTCGATTCCCAGTCAGGGCACATACCTGAGTTGTGGGTTCAGTCCCCAGTCAGGGAGTGTGTGAGAGGCAACTAATTGGTATTTCTCTCTCTCAAATCAATAAATATATCCTCAGGTGAGTATTAAAAAAAAGAATCACAGGCCAATATTCCTGATGAACAGATACAAACATCCTCAACGAAATATTAGCTAAGTAAATTTGACAGTATATTAAAAAGTTCATACACTGGGATCAAGTGGGATTTATTCCAGCAATCCAGGGATGGTTCAACACCCACAAATCAATCAACATGACTTATCACATAACAAAATGAAGGGTAAGTATCACATGATCTCAGTAGATTCAGAAAAACTATTTGACAAAATTTATCATCCACTTATGATAAAAAATGCTGTCAAAGTGGCTAAAGAGGGAATGTACCTCAACATAATAAAGGCTACAGGTAACTACTCAATGGTGAAAAGCTGCAAGTTTTTCTTCTAAGATCAGGAACAAGACAAGGATGCCCACTCTCACCAGTGTTATTCAACATAATATAAGAAAGTCCTAGACAGAGCGATTGAACCAGAAAAACAAAAGGCATCCAAATTGGAAAGGAAAAAGTAAAACTGTCACTATTTGCAGATGATATGATATGTGTATGTATGAAAACATAAAGTGTTAGAATTAATAAAATCAGTGAAGTTGCAGGATAAGAATATACAAAACACTATGTAAAAATGAAAATACTAACTCAGAAAGATATGTGCACCCCATGTTTATTGCAGCATTATTTATAATACCCAAGATATGCAGACAATCTAAGGGTTCATCAATGCAAGAATTGGTAAAGAAAATCTAATTGATAAATCTACAGATATACACACCCTAGAATATTATTTAGCTATGAATAATCTTGCCATTTGTTTGATAGCACTTCTATATGGAGTTAAAAAAAAAAAAAACCTGAAAGATACAAATAACAGATTGGTGGTTTCAGGGGAGGGAGGTGGGTAAAATGGGTAAAGGGAGTGAAAAGGTACGAACTTCAGTTGTAAAATAAATAAGCCATGGCGATATAGTATAATGTACAGCATGGTGACTCTAGTTAATAAACTTGCATGTTTGCAAGTTGCTAGGAGAGTAGATCTTACAAGCCCTCATCACAAGGAAAAAAATTTTTTTTCTAACCGTATATGGTAGCAGATGTTAACTACACTTGTAATCATTTCACAACATATATAAGTACAGAATCATGTTATATACCTGAAACTAATAGTTATATGTCAGTTTTACCTTAATTTAAATAAATAACTAGCAAAATAAAGGAATACATGTTTCAGTTCTGATAACTTAATACATATGGAAAAGACTAGTAAAAACATTTGCAGTCCTGTGGCTTAAATTTAAAAAAACTTTGCATGCAAACCATTTTTTTCTTTCCTAAAGTAAATGAAGACAGAAATTATATGAAAAGGAAAGAAGCAAATGCTTTTGAAGAACAATTATTGAAAGAGAAAATGGATGAACTTTATAGGAAGTTGCATCAAGTGGTGGAGACATCCCAGGAGAGCCTGCCTGCTTTTCAGGAAAGTCCTGAGGTGCGTGTGCTCTTCACTGATGCGTCCCATGCCATTGATTTCCTTTTGATATGCTCCTTTCTAGACCCTATTTTTAGTTAATTCTCATGTAAAGTGTGTATGTACATGTTTATATATTTATGTTTATGTATAGGGCAGGAAAAAAGGTTCATGTAGGGAATTACACAATAATTAAATAACAAGAATAAACTTTTGCATACTCAAAACTGTAAACCTGCATTTGCCACTCCCTGTATTTATATATTTATACTTCTGTTGGATTGTTCTGTTTTTTCTTATTTGGATTTCCTTTTTCACATGATTTGTTAAAAGAATTGTCTTGTGTTCTTTTGCTATATTTTCTTTGCTTTGCCACATATCCCTCAGAGCCTTCTCTCTTCATCCTTCAGGCTGGCCTGGGGCAGCTGTCCTCCCCTTGCTCCTTTTCTGTGGTGTGTCTGTGTTTGTTGTCTGGTCCCTGGTCACCGTTGCTCCTTAACATCTCCATTTTGGTGGAACAGTTTCCAAGAGATTTTTATGGAAAAGCATATCTGAGGGTTAATTTTTTAAGCTCTTTCTCACATACAAAAGCATCTTTATTCTATCTTTACACTTGGGTGATAACTTGATTGAGCATGATGTTCTGGAAGGTAAGTTATTGTATTCCCTCATATTCCCAGAAGGCACTGCTTCCCTGTCTTTTGGCTTCCCTCTTGGTTTTGAGAAGCTCAGAGTTATGCTGATTTCTGGTTCCTCAGATGTACCTCTGTTCTCTGACAGTGTGTAGGTGTCTTTCCCCAGTGTTGTGACATGATGATGTGCTTTCCAGTCGTTATACTTTCTACCCATTGCATTCAGTAGTTGAACGTGTTCGTCCTGTACTTTTGTGGAATTTTCTTCTTTTTATTTTTTAAATACTTCTTCCTCACAGATAGTCTCTATTCTTTTTTATATTCATATTTGATAGTAGGCTCCCCCAGACTGGTCCTCTAATCTTTTTCTTTTTTAAAAAATTTTTATGGTGTTTTTTCCTTATCATTTAACCCTCTTCTACTCCCCGCCCCTGCAATCTCTACATTCTTGTCCATGTCTCTGAGTCATTTTTCCTTTTTGCTCGATACCTCTGGCTCCTTACCTCCCCCCATCCCCAATAGCTGTCATCCTGCTCTCTATCCATTAATCTGTCTCTGTTTTGCTTGTTAGTTCAGTTTGTTCATCAGATTCCACATGTAAGTGAAATCATATGGTGTTTGTCTTTCTCTGACTGGTTTATTTTACTTAGCATAATGTTCTCCAGGTCCATCCATACTGTTGCAAAAGGGTAAAATTTTCTTCTTTTTTATGGCCAAGTAATATTCCATTATGTAATGTCCCATGGCTGTGTTATTCACTCATCTAGTAATGGACACTTGGGCTGCTTCCATATCTTGGCGATTGTAAATAACCCTGCAATGAGTATAGGGATGCTTATGTTTTTTCAAATTAGTGTTTTGAGTTTCTTTGGATATATTCCCAGAAGTGGGATTCTTAACTTTTTTCCTCCTATTTTCTATCTTTGTTCTTTTCCCTCTTAACCTCTGTGAGATTTCCTTAACTTTGTTGCTGTCTTATTAAGTTCTGTTATTTATGTCATTTTATCCTTTATTTTTCGTTTGTAGGTGTCATTTGTTTTTGTCTTTGTCCTTCATATTGAAAGCTTATCATCCTGACACATCTGATGACCTTTATTATCTACTCATCCAAAACACACCTAAAAAGGCTGATTGAGAATCCTAGATGCCTCGGGGGCCTTATTGGCTGGTAGGCTTCACTGGGAGGCATGTTTTCTTTAGCACATAGATTCCTGAGAGCAGAATCATTTGAATTTAGAATATACTCTTGGGTTGGAAACCCAAGGGAAGGGACTAGAGGTCTTGCTGTTCAGGAAGCAGGACACTCAGTCTTTTTGTTCTAGTGTGGTCCCTAATACCATAAACCTTCTTAATTCAGTTTCTCCAGAAAGGAAACACAATCTGCTTCCAGGTGGGTTGTGCTCCTGCAATAATGGGTTTCAGGATCTGTGTTTTAAACTGACTTACTATTGCCTTGTTCCCATTCCTGGCTCACCTTCACTTCCTTTCTGAGATGTATCTAAATTTCTGAACTACTCCAGTGATTAGCCTCCCCAGCCTGCTGTTTTATATGTTTGCATTCTTTTAGTGTCATGTTGGTGAGGATTTGGGAGGGTGTAAATAATAAAGCATATGTTTAAGCCACTGTTTTAGGCCTTCCTTCATTGAACTGATTTTTGTGTGTGGGTAGCATAAGGACATCTTTTCCAAATGGATTGCCAGTTGCCCCTAACTCGTTTATTGACCAGCTCAGCCTTTCCTATTGATTTAAGATATCTATAGCTTGGTTTTGGGCAATAGGTTTTTTCCTGATCATTCCATATTTTGTATTAGCCATGGCTTTGTTGCATGTTTTGATATCTGAGAAAGTCTGATTATTTTTTCAAAATTGAATATTATGATTATTTTTAATCTTTACTAATTTGGTAGGTAAGAATATGTATAGTTCCTTTTAAACTGTCTTTTTTGTTGACTTGTGAGTATGAACTAGTTATGAATAGTTTGAACTGTGAGTAAATGTAGTTTTATTTTTTCTTAATTAAAAATTATTTTTATTTTTCAATTACAGTTGACATTCAAAATTATATTAGTTTCAGATGTACTGTACGGTGGTTATACATTTATATAACTTACAAAATGATCTCCCAATTAAGTCTAGTATCCACCTGGCACCTTATATAGTTATTAAAATATTGCTTATATTCAGTATGCTGTACTTTACGTCCTTGGGACTATTTTTTTAACTGCCAATTTACACTTCCTAATCCCTTTACTTTTGTCACCCAGCCCCCAAACCCCCTCCCATTTGGCAACCATCAAAATGTTCTCTGTATCTAAGTCTGTTCCTATTGTGTTTGTTTACTTTGTTTTTTAGATTCCACATATAAGTGAAATCATAGGGGATTTGTCTTTCTCTGTCTTATTTCACTTAGCATAATACCCTTTATGTCCATCTATGATGTTGCAAGTGGTAAGATTTTATTTTTTTGACTGAGGAATATCCCATCTATGTATGTACCGTATCTTTATCCATTCCTCTTTGGATTGGACCGTTTAATCTATTTACATTTAAAGTCATTATTGATAGGTATGGAGTTATTTCCCTTTTGTTGTTTTCTGATTGTTTTTGTAGTTCTCCGTGTTTTTCTTATTCTCTTGCTCTCTTGTATGATGACTTTTTATAATGTTGTGTTTAGATTCCTTTGTCCTTATTTGTTATATAGCATGTGTAGATTTTTGGTTTGTGGTTATGATGCAATTAGTATATATAACAAGCTATATTTATAGCAGTCTATTTTAAGTTGATCGTCACTTAAGTTTGAACACATTCTAGAATCACTATCATTTTTACTCACCCCTCCCCCGTGTCTGTGTTTCTGTCAGTATTTTTTACTTTTGCATATTTGTGCTTATTTGTATCCCTTAGTTTACTGTTGTAATTACACATGATCTTCCTACTTTTGCCTTTTAAACTTTGTTCTAGCTTTAATATTGGTTGATCCACTGCTTTTATTATGTATTTGCCTTTGTCAGTGAGAATTTTTTTCCTTTGCAATATTTTCTTACTCATATTTTTTAATTTTTTCTTTCTTCTTAATGAAGTCCCCTTAACATTTCCTGTAATACTGGTGTGGTAGTAATGAACTCCTTCATTTCTTTCTTGTCTGTGATGCTCTGTATTTCTCTGTCATATCTAAATGATAGCTTTGCTGGTTAAAGTGTCCTGTCTATAGGTCCTTGCTTTTCCTCACTTTGAGTATTTTGTGCCAGTCCTTTCTGGCCTGCAAACTTTCTGATGGGAAATCAGCTGACAGTCTTACCTCCTTTGTCGGTAACTAACTGCTTTTCTCTTGATGCTTTTAAGATTCTCTCTTTTGTCTTTAACCTTTGGCATTTCAATTCTGATGTGTCTTGGTGTGGGCCTCTTTGAATTCATCTTGTTTGGGACTCTGTGCGTCCTGGACTGGTATGTCTATTTTGTTCACTGGATATGGGAAGTTTTCCATCATTTTTTCACCTAAACTTTCAATCTTTTATTCCCTCTCTTCATCTTCTGGTACCCCTATAATGCAAATAGTGGTACTTTTGGTATTGTTCCAGAGGTCCCTTAAGCTATCCTCATTTAAGTTGTTTTTCTTTATGCTATTCCAGTTGTATGTTTTATGCTACCTTGTCTTCCAAATCACTGATTTGATCCCTTGCTTCATCTAATATGCTGTTGATTCCATCTAATGTATGCTTCATTTTAGTTATTCTTCATTTCTGGCTTTTTTTTTATGTTTTTTATCTCCATTTTTATGTTTTCTGTCTCTTTGTTGAAGTTCTCACTGAGATCATCTATTCTTCCCCTAAGTTCATTTAGCATGCTTATAATCAGTGTTTTGAACTCTGAATCTGGTAGATTGCTTGTCTCTATTTTGTTTAGTTCTTTTTCCAGAGTTTTGTCCTGTTCTTTTCATTTGGGAAATGTTTGTCTTCTCATTGTGACTGCCTCCCTGAGTTTGTTTCGATCTATTAGGTATATCTATTATGTCTCTCAGTCTTGGCAGGGTGACCTTATCTAGTGGGAGCCCTGTGGGGCCCAGTGGCACAGTCTCCCTATTCACCTGAGCTGGGTGCTCTAGGGGTGTCCCTTGTATGAGATTTGGTACCCTTCTATTGTAGCTGAGCCTTGATTGCTGTAGGCACTTCAGTGGGAGGGGTTGACCCTTGGCCTGACTGGCCGTGAGGACTTGCCATGACATTATAGTGGACAAGCTTTGGTGCAGGGGCAGAACCCATAGAGCAAAATTTGCTTTAGTTCAGCTCTGGCGCCTGCCAGTCTGCCCTTTGGGTGTGTCATTTGTGGTGCTAATAGGGTGGTCCTCTGGTGTGCTCTGAAGTTGATCACTAGGTATGTTTGTTCTGGAGCTTCTTGGGAGTATTTCCAGTTCAGGCCAACGTCAGCTGCTGTATGTGTCTAGCCCAGGCCACCTGGTAGGAGCTACAAAGTGATTTTCAATTGGTAGCTGTCTCTACTGGGTGCCGATTAGCAAGAGGACTAGGGCGAGTGGAAGCCACTGAAAGGTTCAGTCAGTTTGTGAGTCTAGTAGGGTGAGGTCTCAAAATCACCATGGCAGGGCAAGAGCTGTGTTAGCCAGGGTAATGGAGAGCTCAGATTTGGGCCCGGGCTGTGCCTATAGGCTGTGCAGGGGGAGGGCAAATCAAAGGAAGAAAGAAGCGGGATATAGCTGTCCCTTTCGCTCTCCCCCTGGGCCAAATATATCAGTTCTTCCCAGTATGTCCGTTGCTTTTTGAGTTGCTGCCTCTTCTCTGGAGTTTAGGGTGCAGGTTGTAAGTGAGTTTGTGTTCAGGCCCTTTAAGAGGACACCTGGAACTGTAGCAGCAGTCTGTCTTATCCAGACAGAGCCCCTTCTTATTTGTACTTCCTGGCATGGTACTCTGGGAGGGGAGCCTGGTGTGGGACTGGTGGCCCATCACTCCTCAGGGAGGACTTATTCAGCCACCATATTCACTCCTGATTCTTAATCATCACATGAGAGGATCAGTCCACTTTGTGTCTCTGCCCTTCCTACCAGTCTCAAGGTGGCTTCTTTTTATCCTTAGTCAGAGGACTTCTGTTCAATTAGTCTTCAGGTGGTTCTCAAGGGTGGTCCTATAATTTAATTGTAATTTCGATATGGTTGAGGGAGGAGGTCAGCACAGCATTTACTTATTCTGCCATCTTGACCAGAGGTCATTAGTATGAACTGTTTATATTTTGTCCCCTTTTTTTGTGAAGTAACTTTTTTCCCTAGATATCTGTGTTTTTTTTTTTAACAATTTGTAAGAATACTTTTATATGGTGAAGAATTCACTCTCCTGTCTTTTAATTTGGTAACATAAGAGGGGAAAATTACAATCTACAATATGTAGAAAAGCACAGATTTTAAGTGAAGAGCTTGTTATCCCTCTTATGTAAGCCATGCTTGTGTGGCAGTTACAATTGTAGCATCTGTTTCCTACTCATTAAAGAGAAAATAGCTACCAAGAATATTTTGATCAAAGAAACATCGTTATTAGCATTGGATAAATTGACTTGCTTGTCTTTTCTCAAAATGAAGTGAAGAGAAATAACACAGTTCTTAAATACTAATGAAACCATAGTGTGGGTTACTTCAGTGGTTTGAAATTTTGTCTTCCAGTTATATCCGTGGTTAAACTACAAAAGCATCCGTCGTGTAGGACGGTCCTTCTTGTTGTCATCAAGTCTTCATTTCAGAATACCTCAAGGGTAAAGGAATCTACTGAAGATAGGTGCCAGTGTTTGAAAAGCAGTAATACTTAATTATCAAGGTTCTGGACCTCATGGCTTTGCTTTTGTTCGCTTAAACTGAAAGGTTAATCCAGCATGCATGGAGCCAAGTGTAGACTCCCAGCAGGAACTGAGCCCTCCATCTCTGCCAGCCATAACTCAGCAGACCTCAGAGCACTTGGGAGAGAAACCCAGACAGGCACCTCCTGCAGTTCCTCCTGAGGCCAGTGCTGTCACTGCTGCTTTGGTGTCCCCAGCCATCAGCCAGAGTGTTGCTCCTCCTGTTCCTTTGACAGCCCAGCCAGTGACAGACTCCATGTTTTCAGTGGTCGGGAAAGATACCAGGTGAGCTGAATGTCATGTCTGTTTCTCACATAGTTTGCAAATTCAGGACCAAGATGTGAATGACAGGTGGTTCCTGTTTTTAAACCAAGTTCTCAAAATATTAGCCCCAAATCTTGCAGACTTACCTATGTCATGCTTCTGTTGTTTACTTCATACTTTCTCTTGATTTAAACTTTTGCAAGGCACTGAAATTAAATTATCTTTTTATAACAGAAGAATACACATCTGTTAAACTGAAATTGCCTTTGCTTACTAGCTCTGACTGAATATACATAGGGATTATTAGTTTGAACAGTTCCTTGACATGTGTTCTCATCTTCCTTCTGTCTTTCCCCCAGGAGCAGTTTGAGATTAATTTCCATTACACAATAGCTATACATTGCTGTAGAGTTTCCCCCAATTTGGAGGGGTTTTCCTAGATTTCTAAGATATAGTGTCACATCATTTATTTTGTTTAAATTTTTATCTTTGAGTTTCTCTTTCTCTCTCTCTCTCTTTCTCTCTCTCTCGCAACATAAAACAATTATATCACTCCATTAGAAAAAAAATTAAAAGCTACAGTGTGTCTCACACCCTCCCCTTGTGTTAAACCCCTTAACACAAACTATGGTTCTGAAGTACTAGTTTCTCTCAATGTCAAGGTTAACTTTTATCAATGATTTCTCCTGAAAATAAGATTTAAAATCATCATGGTTTTTCACTCACATTAAGATAATTATTCAGACCTGAGTCCTGTATTCTACCATATATTTAAGAAGAGAACTATTGTGTGGGAGCCATGATTCCATTAGTTCTTTACAGTCAATTTATGCAACTATAAGATGGTAAGAGTAGCAGCAGTGTCAGGCCCCATAAAAGTGATACGTGTCCAATTGCCTCTATCAAGATAGAGTAGTGAGGTTGTGAGAGCAGAAACATCTGCCCCATATGAAATTGTGAGGCTCTTTGATCTAATGAATGTTTAGGTCTCCGCCAGAAGTACTTTAGATTGACCCTGACCCAGGCAAGGTACTGAATGGGACCCCATGGCATTCTCAGCAGCCTGGACAGCTTACTATGACAGAGAAAGAGTACCTTTCTCTAGAATCTTATGTAAAACTTATGCTTTGTTTTTTTATGACCATTTAATGGGAATTCATAAGATTAAAAGTATGGTACTTTTTATTTTACGTCTTGACAGGGTCAATTAACAGAATTCTAGCCATGTTAAATAGATAAAGTCCACTATCACAACTGCATTTAAAACAAATTGATATAAATGTCTTCTGTCCCATGTCTTTTCTTTCTTGGTAACTTTTAAAGTCTGAAGAACACTGCACTACTATGTCTGCTGACTTGTGATGAGTGGTGGCTTTGCAGCTGACGCCCAGCAGTGCTTTCCCTTACCATGACTCTGGAGAGCTGCCTGTTGGCCCTTTTGCCTGTGGAATAAATGGGATCATTTGAGTTGGGGAGCTGTTATCCTGCCATAACACACAAAGAAATGATTAGTGTGGCATTAAAATACTTAATCACTATGTCAAGCAAACAGTAGTACCTGACCTATATCTGTAAGAATTCTTTTGTTCAAAAGGAAAGGAAATGAAAGAAAAAATAAACATTTCATTTACTTACACTATAGACCTAAGTGGTTCTATCTGTATTTTAACAATAGGCTTGCAATTACAGACATTTTTTACAGTTCTTTCTTGAGAGTTAGTGTGTCTCAAGAGTTTTCTTTTCCAGATGCATGACTAGAAGTGCTCAGGAATTCAAGCCACAGAACAAAGTTGAGATAAAAGAAGGTAATGTGTAGTTACAATACATTTGTTTCTGACTTGTCTGCCCAGATTTCTCCAGGTGCCTCAAGGATCTGTGTGGTGGCTGTGGTTCATGAAGTCTTCAGATTTTAACGAAGCTGAGTGTTAGTTTTCCTTTTAGAAAGTAGGGGTTAGATGAACCCTGGACTATTTCAAGTAAAGGCAGAAATCTCCTTTTTAGTCACATCTTACTAGTTAGAATCATTTGGAAACTTGATATGTAAAAATTTTACTGTTAAACTTATCAGATTTATTTAAAACAATAGTCACTTTTAATATGTCATGAGATAGGAAAGATGATTAAAAGTTTAATTAGGAGTGTTATACTTCTATATGGTACTACTTAGCTAGGGGCATTTGCACTGAAGGTAAGTTTTATAAATAAGACACATGGTTTAGACATTCACTCCACACAAAATGTCATGTGACTGACATTTTTTCCAATGACAGTTCTGTGGGAGAAGAGCTACTCAAAACAGCTAGAGACCCCTGCATTGGACTCAGACTGCCTGAGCACTCTCTGGGTGTCCAGTACTGTTGTAGGGAGTTAGGGGTGCAGTCACGAACAGAAAAGACAAAACCCACCTGTGTGAAGGGGAAAGGAAATGTTGCTTTTGGGGAGGTGGATTGAAACTATAGAGGTCACCAGGGAAGATGCCCAAAAAGAAAGTAATATTTGTGTCAAGGCTTTCAGGAGAGGGCTGCCCCCATGGCCAGCTTGGAAAACCTGCTTCAGGCTCATGCAGAACCCTCAGGCGGGAATGTCCCTGATGTATCTAAGCACAGTAGAGGCCAAAAGGGCTGGAGTGAGCAGAGGAGGAGGAAGAGAGTGAGACTGGACCAGTAGGACCCAAGTGAGCAGAGCCTAGACTCCAACTGAGTTCTGAACATTTAAAATGGGACTATTAACATGTATTTCTTGGGATATAGTGGAGCTAAGGTTTTATTATGACAAGACTGGCAATTTGATATGATTTTAGACCAAACCATTATTCTCTTTAAGCTTTCATTTCCTTTTCTGTAAAAGGATATTTCTTGCCTTACCTACCTCATGGGATCATAAAGATAAAAATGAAAGTACTATAATCAAGTCCTTAATGATAATTAGCAACAATAATAAATGTTTTAATTATAGTAAGTTTCTTTTATTATGTACCTTTTAAATTATTCTGATTTCCCTGCTGATACTGCATTTTGTCCCCATTTCTTTAATAGGATGTGAAACACATAAGGTTTTTCACACAACTCCAAACACATCACTGGGAATGGTTCAGGCAACACCATCCAGAGCGCAGCCGTCACCCACGGTGCACACAAAAGAAGCATTAGGTAAAGCCTTTGGTTGGAATATGTAACCTCTGACAACAGATTAATGAAAGGTCTTTGCAGCCCTGTTTACGCTTACTCTTTCTACTCTTAAGGTTTCATCATGAATATGTTCCAGGCTCCTACACTTCCTGATGTTTCTGATGAGAAAGATGAATGGCCATCTCTAGATCAAAATGAAGATGCGTTTGAAGCCCAGTTTCAAAGTAATAACATTTATTTAAAAGCTACTGAGTGCATAGCATTGAGGATGGTTGTCATAGGAAATACCAAGGATCATAAAAGAAGTGGCCCTACTTTGATTAGCTTGCCACATAAGGGCAGGGAATGTGTGAAATTAAAAAATTAGAGAATGTTTGACAAGGTACTTGATGTGTATCATAGAACTGTTTTGTTTCTAAAATAATAATAATAATAATAATAGTGCCAAAGAAGGCAAAGATCCTCATGGATAGAAACAGCCAGGAAGGGCTGAGCATTTCAAGTCTGACTTGAGTCTTGCCTGGTAGAATGATGAGCAGAGTGCTGGAGGCCAGCAGCCAGCAGCCTCCTTTCATCTGGAGTCAGAATATTCCTGATGGAAGCCAGAAAGAGATCACAATAAAACTGAATAATATCCAGTTAGACTTGGGAGGTTCTAAAATATAAGGCTATGCTAAATGGAAAACAACCACTGAGAGCTTTGGTCAGTGAGTCAGGTGATAATAACACTGTTTTAAGAGAATGTTCAACACCTATCTGTGGAGAGAAGTCAAGACCTGGAGGCTGGAGTGAGAACCCCTGTGACCATAGTTAAGTTACTTCATCTCAGTACAAAGTGACTTACTGCATTACCTAGTATCTGAAAAACTGCTATCACTCCTTTTTGTAAGCTTTTATTCCATTTTCTTATTTGTAGTTGAAATTTAACGTAAAGGATGTTTTCCGCCAATGTAATAATTAAATGCTGTTTTATTTTCTGTTGCAGAAAACACAAGCTCTTCTGGAGCTTGGGGCGTTAATAAGATTATCTCTTCTTTGTCATCTGCTTTTTCTGTGTTTGAAGATGGGAACAAAGAAAATTATGGGTAAAGAAATACCTAGTTAAAATCACATTATAGGAGATACCTGTTGTCACAGTGACATGGAATGCTGCACACGTTTCTCTGTGTCTCAAAAGCAGTGAAGCAGTGATAGAGTGGCCCGCCAGTTAGGTGGTCTGCATTACAGTCAGCTCTGCCACTGATGCAGTCAGCTCAGCCTTTTGACCACATGCCCAGGAGATTGTTGCAAAGTACTCCAGATCCTCAGTCCTATGCGGGAATCAAAAGAAAGAAGACCTCCCACAGTTAAGAGCATGTAGTAATGAATAATCAGAGAACTGAGGGATTCTGTGGATTTGAACTTTTATTAAATGTGAATAGATTCACCAGTCCAGATATCCACACATACTCTGTTTATATTGGCAGGATTGATGAAGTAGAAAAGGAGGTGGCTTATGTGGGGTCATGCTGCAGAGAGAATGTATTTTAAGGTCAAGGAAAACTGTATTAAAGTAGGTAGCTCCAGGGATTTCACTATCACCAATTTAAACCATGGAAAGAGAAGTATCTGTGTGGTTAAAGGTATGGCAATATGGAAGAGATTTATATGGAGCCAGAAGGGAGGAGCCTGACCAGCTAACTCACAGAGAGAAACCCCGCAGCTAAACCAAGCCCCGTAAATAAATCAAGTGCATGGCCTCCCTAACCGTCTGTGGCCACGGTCCTCTTTTTCCTGAAACTTATGTATAACTTAGCATAATAGAAACTTTGGTATTTTCTACCCTCACTGAAGTAACTAGCTCTTCTCATATACATAGGCATATTAATTTATTTTGCATTCAGTATAGCTATAACTATTGTGTAAGTAAAAAATACATATGTAAATACTAATTAAATAGGATAACTTAAGACTGTTTCTAACGCTCAAATGGTAGCATTTATTTCCTTGACATATTTTACTATTTATAATTTTGCAAATCTTTTCTTAGATTACCACAGCCTAAAAATAAACCCACAGGAGCCAGGACCTTTGGAGAACGCTCTATAAGCAGATTTTCTTCAAAATCAAAGGTGAGTAATCTCTGCTTCATCTATGAAATGGGCCTTTCAACCCTTTCCTCTTCCTTTACCAAGTAGTTGTGCTCGATAAATTAAATGGTGTTTGTAATGCTATGCTGAAAAATACAATGTTAAGTGAAGAGTACAGTTTAGGGGGTATTATTCTACAATTATCTGAGTATCTAGTATGGTGCCAGGCACTGTGATAGGTACAGAAAGTAAAAAAGGAATTTGGTGTGATACTTGCCCTCAAAGAGCCTGTCCTCTACACAAGAGGCCCCGTGGCGGGCGGGGAGTTGAGAAATATACATTTCATATACCCCGTATGTGACTCCAGCAGTGGACTGTTAGAGTTAACTGGAATGGTCCATTGTCACGCATCTCAGCAGACAGGCGTCACCTGTTTGTTGGCCCACAGCATTCCTCTGTTAGAGCAACTATTGTGTCCAGCCTACATTTAGTTTCCACGGCAGGCCTGAGTGTTACCAAGCTATACTTTTTTCCATTCACCCCAGCCTGCCCTCTGCTGTGTTGTGTCAGAGAGGTGCTAAGAAGCTCTGCTAAACCCTGGATTGTGGTTTTCATCCCACAGTGGATTCTTTTGACTAAATTATCACCCATTTCTCTAATGCTTTGGTGGACTTTTTGACCTTAAAGTTTTCCAGAATAATAGGCTGAATTTCAAATACAGAAGCATCATCTTATAGGTGCATTTTACGGAACTATTCAACTATATATGTGCTTTGACCAAAAAAATCCACAATGAATTATCTATATATCTTGGCCCTAAGTATAAGCCAATTACTTTATCCTGTGTTCACCAAAAAAAAAAAAAAAAAAAAAAAACCAAAAACCAACAACAATCAGCCAGCTTTCCATGCAATATTAGAAGATATATGGTGGAATTTATGAAGACTGCAATATACATAAAAACCAGGGATGGCATTTTTATGGGCAACAGAAGAGCTATGGTCAAGTGTGATTCTGATTTAGCACTTTCTGCTGTTGTCATAGACTCTAAAACTTGACTTTTGCATTTTTGGAGGAATAGCTCCTTCTAAGGCTGGGGCTAGAAAATACAAATGAGCATCTTATAGGTCAGAAAGTAATGAAATGCTTAAAAAACCAAAAAGATGGAGTACAGGAAGAGAACATAGGAGCCAACCTGAGCCACCAGTGCCCATACCTGGGACAACATGAACAGGGAAGTAAACAGAAAAGGATAGCATTAGATTTTAACCCCAGAAATAAAATAAATATCCATACTGTTGTAAAAAAAAAATAGAAGAGAAAGGATGGAGCATCCTTACATAAGAACTCCAATAACGTAAAAGGAATGAATGACGATAGAAAATGGCCATTAGAGCCACAGTAATAATTGCAACAGGCAAGATCCCCGGGTGAATATTACAATTAGCTAGAGAAACTTTATGAAGAAACAGGATATTTGTATAGCCTGCTTCACCCAAATTATTAACCACTCTGGTGGTTTTAACCTTTGTTCACGAAGTCTTTGATATTCCTTAGATGAGCTTAGTTTACATTCCTTTGAGGGTAGGCTGGAGTTAGAGTAGAGTAACAAGTAGAGTAGTGAAAGGGAAAGACTGTACCTGCAGTGGAGAAGCTGGGCAGGCATCACCTTGACCAAGTGATCGGTGAACCTCACCAGTGGTAATCTGTTAATGTCATGTATCCTCTAACATGACATGATAAGAAAAGGTGATTGACCTCTGGTATTCTTCCCCAAAATTTATAACCCTGGTCTAATCCTGAGAAAACATCAAATAAACCTAAATTAGAGGGACATTCTACATTGTACTTGATTCATATTCAAAAGTGTCAGTCTGAGAAAGCCTAGGAAAGACCAGTAGCCTGGTATGGATTAAAGGAGAACAAGGAGACATAGGAGCTAAACACAGCATGACAGCCTGGATTAGATCCAGAAACAGAAAAGGAACGTGAGGAGGAGAGTGACAGAATCCAAATAATGCTTACAGTTAATAGTGGTGTTTAGTTTTCACAAATATACCAGGGTTTTATAAAATGTTAACATTAGAAGGCTGATATGGCTATGTAAGAACTCTACTATCTTTTAAATGTCTATGTAAATCTAGACATCAAATTTCAAAATGTAAACATTGAAAAATCAAAAATGTGACCCTGGGTGGGGTGTGAGACCACTGGGGTATGAAATGGAAGAGTCCAGTTCTGGGGAAGAGATCAGAACCATGACGTCCTTGGATGTGTGTTAGCCAGGGCTACACCTGTTGGCTTTTCAATTCCTCATTCTCCTAAATCTTAAAAAAATGCTAATGTGTTACATTTTGTGGATGACACAGGGAGGTGACTGCTTTTTTTCAGTTCATCTTTTGTTGCAGGAAGTCCCTCATGCTGAGGAGTTTTGGGATGACTCCACCGTGTGGGGTGTCCGCTGCACCAAGACGCTGGCGCCCAGTCCTAAGAGCCCAGGAGACTTTACGTCTGCTGCACAGCTCGCGTCTACTCCTTTCCACAAACTTCAGGTGGACTCAGTTCACACTCTGGAAGATAAAGGTTGTATGACACTACTCGTATAGGGTATAAGTTTATTTTATGTTCTACAAAACGAAAAGGTCACCAGGGACAGATTAAATTATTTGAATGCTAAAAATAGTGAACATTTATATTTTTAATTTGATAAGAGTAACAAATAACATTGAGCACAGATAGTTATTACTTAAGTACCAGCCTACAAAATACATATACTGTGAGATCTGGAACCACCTTACCGTTTTGGTGACTACTGATTTATTAGCCAAACTCTCGTCACTGCTGTCACTTTTTTTAAAATGGCAGTTGCTCACCAAAGCATGGCAGTGAAAGAAATGCCAAGGAATTTCACTCTCGTAGATTGAAGCATATTTGAGCCCATAGACTTAAAAATGTTTAACTAAAGGGGTAAAAACTTTTTCTTAGAGTACTAACTCAATATGGTGTATTCATCTTCTGAATTTTAAAGGAGAGTACAGTTGAAACTTGGACACTTGCTGAGTATTATTACAAGGTTGCCACTTGAGTAAAAAAACAAAATTTAAGGTTTTTCCACTCAGGAAAGCTAGTTTAATCAGTTGGGAGCCTTTCAAAACAGTCAAAATTAGCTGCACTTAAAAGTTTATTTGCCACTTTGGTTCTATAAATAAAAACCTTCTAGTATTAAAAAGTATTAGTCTCTATTTGGTGAAACAATATCTGATAAAATTTAATCCAGTGTGATACTTGCCCATATATAGTATTAATATCAATTGGTAGAAGTTAATTCTGTATTCTGCTTTTATCTAATCTGTTGATTGATGGTTTGTTTGTTTTTTTTTAAGTTAAAGGGAGTGATAACTATGGCCAGGAAGCTCTCTGATGGAAACGTGCTGCATCATTCAGTCAACTCAGTGCTAACCAGTTGACTGAAAGACACCAAAACTTCTGCCCTCCAGAGGCCTGGCAGCCTTTTATGCTCCATGTCCTCGTTGTTAGGTTTTCCCAAAGCAGGGTGTGGCCTGCCACCCATGGTTTGGCCACTCTGCCACCGGCAAACTTGCCCCTCTTCTGGCCCTATTCTCTGGAAGGATTGTATGGATTAGGTGTATAAAGTTTAAATGCTCCACATACATTATATATTAGCAGTAGAATTTTTTTAAGTGATTTTCCCCCCATTTAAAAAATCTTACAGTACATTTTACCATGGAACATTACTTTAAAATTATAATGGAAGTCAGTATAAAAAGGAATCCTGGAATTTATAAACACAAAATCATGTGTGTACACATGTGCACACATAATGTCTGCCTCTTCTTTTGTATGTTTCAGAAAATGCGGTAGCAGCACATTGTACCCATGTGACTTCGGATTCATGTGAAGAAAACATGGTGGAACCCTCAAAAGACAAAAAGTTCAGGTATTGTGATCATGTCGTTCTGTCACTCCATTTTCATACTAGCTTTGTTTTTAAGATGTAATGGAATTCCAACCCTTAAAGACTAATAGAGTTTTTATGGACTTGCAGCTTTAAGACAGAAGGTCCTCTCTGTGGATGAATACAAAGATCCACCTAAACACAGGGTACATCAGGGCAGTAAGAGCAGCAGCGAGGTAGCAGAGAATCCCTGTGAGAATAGTTTCTGAGTCTGACTTCCACACGTTTTGGGAGCAGAACTGCAGATACTCTTACCAGCCAAAGACCCTGACATAGAAAGAGTGTTGTGGAACTGAGCAGAGATCCTTCTCTGTACCTATTGTAATTGAGAAAATCAGTAACCTTTTTTTTTTTTTTTTTTTTTTTAATGAGGAGGAAGATAGAGTGTTTAAACCTCTTAAGCACTGGTGTAAAATGTACTTACCATACATTAATGTTTTTCGGAAGTAAAAGTCCAACATATTTGAATAGTCTGGTAAATGTAATAGACACTGAAAGTAGCTACTGTCTTTTGAGCATTAATTCCAGAATAGTGGCTGTGCTTTTCATGTACTATATTCTTTCACTAATCTTACAGTAACTTTAGTTGTAGGAACTAGTCTTTTCTACCATTGTAGATGAAGAAACCAGGTTTAGAAGGCTAAATAAATGAACTAAAGCCATACAGCTCCTAATTGACAGTGCTGGAATTTGAACCCATAGCTCTTAATTCAGAACCCTTGGTTTTACCACTAGGCTGTACTGGTTCTTGTTATCAAAAAAACTCTTCTTAAACTAAAACCCTACTAAATAAATGATTGGATAAAGGACATGGGCAGAATTTAGGGGGAAAAAATGAATAAACATGTAGGAAATAACTCATGAATAATAAAATTAATGCAAATTAAATAAACTGCCTTAATTTAAAATTCTGCCCAGTGGGCACAACCTGTATAGCCCACTAAGAATCTTCCCACATGCAAGTAAACTTTTGACATAATACCACCATAAGCCACATTTGGCATAAGATTAACTTAAAAGTTCATAGAACCGAAATCACAGTTGCCAGAAAGGTAGTACTATCCAAGAAACTGTTGTCTTTGACCCCCATGAGACAGTTAAGTTGCGAGGAAACAAGATTCACCCAGGTATACTCCTTATATTGAGCTTCCAGGGTCTCTACAAGCAACAGACCTTTTATGAGAGTCATTGCACCCAAAGCCGGAAGCTATAGATTCCCAGCACATGTTTCTAATTCTCCCAGTGAAGATACAGTTAACCATTGAGGGTTATTTTTAACCATAATCAGTGATGACAGTAATACTCTTACCTATTCAGTTTTCAGGGGAAAAGAACTAGAAAGTTAACTAAAATAATTCTCATGGAGAGGTAAAAAGGATTTTGTTAATCATTTATGCACCTATACTAATTTGGGCACTCATGTTGCTAGGAGCAATGTACATGGTTTAGACACAACTTTTTCTGTGTTTGGCTACCCCTATTACCTGTTTTGTTGGTAATATAAAATATTGAAAATATTTTCAATATCTAAGAATCATGGAATTTTTATATTCTAGTGTATGTCCAATGGATCAAATGGTGTACGGTCATTAAAATCCATGGCTGGAACTGTGGAAAAACTTGCAGGCACAACCTCTACCAAATGATCAAGGTTAATGTCACCAGTGATACCATTTAATGAGAAGGGCACCTCACTTCTGTAGTATTTTTCTCCAAAACCAATGTAGCCTAGTCATGAGGAAACATCAGAGAACCCCAAACTGAGGGACATTCTGTAAAATTCATAGCTAGTAATTCTCAAAACTGACAGGTCTTGGAAAACTAGGAAAGACTAAGAAACTTTCACAAATGAGAAGAGAGAGTGAGGAAACAAGACAACTAAATGCAACGTGGTGTCCAGATTTGGGTCCTGGAATAGCCGAAAGGCAATGTGGAAAAGTGGTGAAATCTACATGAAGTCTGGATGATAGTTAAAGGTCACATCAAATGTTGGTGTGTTGGTTTTGACAAAGAAACCACTATAACTTTGGAGGAATTGGGTGAGGAATATATGGGAATTCTGTTATTTTTGCAACATTTTTTAAAATCTACAATTATTCTAAAATTAGTTTTTAAAAATATTCACAACAAGAAAAATGACTGTCAAGAGGCAAAAAATTCATGATGAAGTTACATGTATAAATTCATCTGTATAAAACTATATTCCTATTCATGTGTTTGTATATATTGGATATAAAGATGTGGTAGGGTATATGTGGAGCTGTGTATACAGTTAAGTCTTGTTATTTGCTTTGGTTCTTCTCTCTAAAGTCACTGCAAACACTGAATCATTGCCCCTAGAAGAAATACAGAATGAGGTTCTTGTGAACCTGTGGTCACAACATAATGTTTAAAACCACCTTATTTAATATGTAGTTAACTCATTAACACTGAACTCACTGCCACCAGTGCTGTAACTCGTGCCTGAAGCTCATCTAGCACACATCTAGCAGCCTTCCTCCACTTGAAAAACATTTTAAGCAATGAATTGGAATCACACACACACACAAGGCACAAAAAGTGCAGACAAAAACAAAAAGTCCTCGTCACTAAGTATATTGTGAAAGGAAACATTTACAGTATGAGAGCTGAAACAAGACAACGTTAAGACCTTATCCCTCACCTGGGGCCATATTTTGGGGTGACTCAAACTTTTTGCCACTCTGCATCTCTGCCGGTTGAGTGTTGATTTCAGGTTTACAAATACGTTTTAAGCATACATGAGAATTCATAAATATGCAATTCATGAGGAATGAGCATTGACTGTACAGAGAGATGTATATATGTGTGGAACTGTACCAGTGTTAGGTTGTTGGATTGTGGTTCACACTTTGTTTCAGTGTTATAAAAGAAGGCATTTTGGAATAAAGATAAGTGTTCGGTCTTGGTGACAGTACTGATACTTAACTAACAGTGTGGGGGAAATAAACCTGTTCCTCTCAATGTTTCCTACTAAAGAATATTTCCTTTATTACCCATCTATTTATCTATCACCATGCTTTTGATTTATTTCTAGTATGGTACCAGATGTGTATTTGCATGTTTTTGTTTTTTTCCTGAAGAAATGCTTTAATCAACTCTTGGTGAAGCAATTTTGGAATGTCTCTCCTAGAATAAAAAGGAAACTGCTTTCCCAGACTTTCATGTGATCAAATCCAATAGACTTGTAATCACGTGGTATTTTGTTTCCTCCTCTCTCATTCTTTTTACACATCAGTTCAATTCAAGAGCAAAGCCCAGAACCAGCATCCCCCACCAATGCATCTTCAGCATCGTTGCTGCATCCGAGCCAGCCTACTCCCAGTGGCCTGCTGACCAGCGAGGCGGAGCGGAGCCTGAAGGCTTGTACACTCACAGATACTGACTTTGCCATTGTTGGGGAGCCATCAGATGCCAGCACTGGGCTCCAGGCAGAACGGATGCATCCTCGTTCACTTAGGAATGTTGATACCCCAAGTATGAGCAGATTTTCAGTCCTCATTATGTCCCTTAATAAGGACATTCTCCTGGTAAAAGCTGCTCCATGAAAAACTCAAAGAGCAGGGACTTGAATATCGTTGAATAGAACACAAGTTCAGACAGAACTTGCATATTGTATCACAATGTAGTACAAAATAGCCTGCATGAAAATAAGTTCATCCATTTTAATTTTAGAAAGTGTCAAAATATCTACCTATTCGAAGAGGGAATTAGAATTGGAGGACCTACTGTGCCAAGTATTTAATATAAAGCTGTATCTCCATTTTACAGGAAAGTAACCAAGCTCAGGGTTAAGGGATTCCCAACCCCAGGCTTCACAAAAACATCTTGCATAGTGGTTAGAAGTACAGCCTCTGGGGATAGACTGGCTAGGTTTTAATCCTGGCTCCGTGTCATATGAGGTCATGTGATCTTAGCTGAGATTATTTCAATCCTCTGTGGCCCCCTTTCTGTAAAGTGGTGGTAATGGTTGTACCTGCTTCAGTCTTACTGTAAGGACCAAGTGATTTACTAAATGTCAAATAGGACAGTGTCCTACATAGGCTTAGCGCTAAGTAAGTGTTAATGATGCTGGATTAGTCTTTGATAATAGCCACTAACTTTTCTCTTCCTTTTAGAAAAGATTTCTTTTTTGTGAATCCAAAGTATCTCATACTTGTAGATTGCAGATAGGTAGTGTAAGTGTTAAAAGGCAACATGTTTTGTAGACATAAGTAGAAAAGCAATTTAGAGAACATGTATCTGAACACATTAGAAGTAACTGATGTCCAAGTCTTCCTTTAAAGGCATGCACCCATAATTGTGCTACAGGCAGTATCTGTCAATTCCAGATGAGTGAAACAAGTACCCTTGGTGTTGATTTCCTTTGTCCCAACTGAATATTGATCTAACTTTGTAAATCTAAAATGACAAATAGTGAACTGTGAAGAACCACCCATTTTGACTTTTGAAAATGGTTCTTTATTATTTGAATTGATACTCTTTACAATGAGGCTTTTGAAAGTTTATTTAATGCATGTCTCCACTTGCTGTATTTGTAGTATCTTAACTACTGAATTTTTCTTTTTTTTTTTTTTGTTCCCATTCCTTCATTCCTTTAAGATTTCGTTGTTGAGAATCCATGGGATGATCAATTGATTTTCAAACTTCTGTCCGGGCTTTCTCAGCCAGTGTCCTCCTATGCAAATGCCTTTGAGTGGCACTGTAAGCTTCCTGCCATCAAGCCCAAGATTGAGTTTCAACTGGGTAAGAACTACGTGGTAGTAAAACTTTAAACTCTCATTTCTCTGTGGGAAGTTGGTGGTAACGCATGTGTATGTGATTCCGCTCCTGGCACCACAACCACCTTTTATCCGTAGGACTAAGCAGAGCATCTTGTTAAGCCATGACAGTATGTAGCGTTTTTATTGCTGTTGGGGCTCTCACTTACAGAAGGCCAGTTGGCAATACCTATGAAAATTAAAAAAGCACATACTTTTAGACACAGACACCACTTCTGAGAATTTGCTGCGGATGTACTACATACATTCCAAATAACGTGCATGTAAAAGCAGCAGGTTGGAAGCTACGTAGATGTCAATGGAGACTGCTTCAATAAATGATTGGACACCTCTGCAGTGACGTGTACTTATAGGAGATGACCTCCAAAACATGCAGTTAAATGAAAGGATAGATGAGTACTATGTACTGCTTTCTGTTTCTTAAAAAGGGGAAGCTCAAATATATAATCATATTTGATAGTATTTCCAGAGAACTGAAAGATACTCAACTAATAAAAATGGCTGTTAGTGAAAAACAGTGGGTGTGGATAACAGTGGGACAACACTTCTCACAATGTACTTCCCACACACGTATATGTATATAGACTCCCTTGTTGACATCTTGACATCTTGCATTAGTGTGCATTAGTGTACAATTGTTGAAGTTGATGAGCCAATATTGTTACATTATTATTAACTAAAGTTTATATTAGGATGCCCTCTCAGTATTGTACATTCTGTTTTGAGAAATGTGAAATGACATGGATCCATCATTACAGTATCATACAGGGTAATTTCACTGCCTAAAAGTGCCCCGTGTTCCACCTATTGATCCTTCCCTTCTGCCACCTGAAACCCTGGCACCCCCTCCTCTTTTTACTACTGTCTCCATAATTTTGCCTTTTCTAAAACGTCATAGTTGTACAGGATATGTACTTTTCAGATTGACTTCTTTCGCTTAGCAATATACATTTTAGTTTCTTCCAAGTCTTTTAATGGCTTAATAGCTCTTTTTAATTGCTGAGTATTAATCCACTGTATGAATGTACCATCATTTACTTATTCATTCACCTATTGAAGGCCATCTTGGCTGCTTCCAAGTTTTGGCAATAAAGACTAAGGCTGCTGTAAATATTTCAGTGCATTTTTGTGTGGACCTAAGTTTCAGTTCATTTGGGTAAATACCAAGGAGTTTGATTGCTGGGTCATATGGTAAGAGTATGTTTACTTTTGTAAGAAACTGCCAAACTGCCTTCCAGAATGTTTTGTACCATTTTGCATTCCCACCAGCAAAAAATGAAAGTTCTGTTACTCCACATCCTCACATTATTTGGTGTTGTCAGTGTTTTCAGTTTCAGCCATTCTAATAGGCGTGCAGTGGTGGTATCTCACTATTGTTTTTAATTTGCAATTGCCTAATGACATTCGATATTGAACATTTTTGTATGTTTATTTGCCATCTGTATATTCTCTTTGGTGAGTTCTGTGTTCAGATCTTTTTCCCCCTTTTAATTGGTTTGTTCATTTTCTTAGTGTTGAGTTTTAAGAGTTGACTGTGTGTTCTGGATAACAGTCCCTTATCAGATAAGTGTTTTGCAGAAATTTTCTCTCAGTCTCTGGCTTTTCTTTTCATTGTATTAACTTTGTTGGCAGAAGTTTTTGCAATAATTTTAATGAAGTCCAATTTACCAATTTTTTTTCTCTCACAGATAATACTTTGGCTGTATCTAAGAGATTACTGGCAAATCCAAGGTCACCTATGTTATCTTTGACAGTTTTCTAGTACTTTCACAGTTTTGTGTTCTACATGTAGGTGTATGATGCATTTGACTTAACTTTTGTGAAAGGTCCTCTGTCTAGATTTATTTTTGCATGTTGATGTCCACTTCTATCACCATTTGTTGAAAAAACTCTCCTTTCTTAATTGAATTGCCTTTGTTTTGTCAGTGAGCAGCTGACTGAATTTGTTTGGTTCTATTTCTGGGTCCCTTTTTCTCTATTCCAATGATCTATTTGTCTGTTCTTTCATCAATACCACAGTGCCCTGATTATGGTAGTTTTTATAGTAAGTCTTGATGTCGGGTAGTGTCAGTCATTTAATTTGTTATTCTTCAATATTGTGCTGGCTATTCTGGGTCTTTTTTCCTCTCCATATAAACTTTAGAATTTGTCAATATCCATGAAATAACTTGCTGCGATTTTGATTGAGGTTACATCGAATCTATAGATAAGTTGGGAAAAATAACATCTTGACAATATTGTTTTCCTATTCATGTACATGGGATATCTCTATTTAAATCTTTGATTTCTTTCATCAGAGTTTTGTTCTTTCCCTCATATAGATAATGTACATATTTTCTTAGATTTATACCTAAATTTTTAATAGGACTTGCATACCTATAGTGCTAATGTTAATGTACTGTGATTTTAATTTCAAATTCTACTTAACTCATTTCTTGTACGTAGGAAAGCAGCTGACTTTTGTATGTTAATTTTATATCCTGCAACTTTGTTATAATTGCTTATTAGCTACAGATTTTTGTTCATTCTTAGGGATTTTCTGGGTAGACAATGCTGTCTTCTGTGTACAAAGACTTTATTTCTCTCTTCCCAGTCTGTATGCCTCTTATATCTTTTTCTTGACCTGTTGCATTAGCTAGGACTTCCAGTATGATGTTGAATAGGAATAAGGAGAAGAGATGTCCTCACCTTGTTCCTAATCTTAGTGGGGAAGCATATCTAGTTTTTCACCATTAAATATGATCTTAGCTGTAGAATTTTTTATAGACCTTCTTTATCAAGTTGAAGAAATTCCCCACTACTCCTAGTTTGCAGAGTTGTTAACATGACTGAGTAATGACAAAAAATACTTTTTCTGCAGCTATTGATAATGATGATGTGATTTTTACTTTAATCTCTTTATGTGATAGATTGTGTTAACTGATTTTTTAATGTTCAGCCAGCTTTGTATACCTGGGTGTAAATCCCACATGGTCAAAGTGTATAATTCTTTTTGTACTTTTTTTGGATTCGATTTACTAATATTTTATTGAGAATTTTTGCGTCTGTGTTCACTAGAGATATTGATTTGTAGTTTTCTTATAATGTATTTGTCTGATTTGATATTAGGTTAATGCTGACTTCATAGAATGGGTTAGGAAGTTTTTCCTCTGCCTCTGTCCTTTGGAAGATATTGTAGAGAGTTGCTATAATTTCTTCTTTAAATGTTTAGTAGAATTAATCAGTGAGACCATCTGAGCTTGGTGCTTTCTGCTTGGGAAAGCTATTGATTACTGATTCAATTTCTTTACTAGATTTAGGCCTATTCATATGGTCTTTTCCTGTGTGAATTGTGAAAGATTGTTTCATTCAAGGAATTGGTCCATTTCATCTAGATTACCGATCTTGTGGACATTGAATTGCCCATGGTATTTCTTTATTATCCTTTTAGTGTTCATAGAATCTGTAGTGATGCTTTGTTTCATTTCTGATAAGACTAATATGAGTCCTCTCTTTTTTTCCTTAGGTAAATTGGCTAGGGACTTACTGGCTTTATTGATCTTATTAAAGAATCAGCTTTAGGGTTTTTTTTTTTTAATATTCACTATTGATTTTCTGTTTTCAGTTTCACTGATTTTTGCTTTTTTTGTGTGTATGTGTGCTTAAAGTGGATTTAATTTGCTCTTTTTCTAGTTTTCTAAGGTGGAAACTAAGATTAGGACTTTAGATCTTTGTTCTTTTCTAACATGCATTTTAATGCTACAAATTTCCCTCTAAGCTCTGCTTTTGCTGTATCCTACAGTTTAAATGAATTGTACTTTCATTTTTATTTCGTTCAAAAATATTTTTCAGTTTATCTTGAAATTTCTTCTTGGACTTACATGTTATAATCTCCAAGTGTTTGGGGACTTTCCAGTTATCTTTCTATTGACTAATAGTTTAATTCCATTGTAGTTTGAGTGCATGTTTTGTGTGATTTCTTTTTTTAATTTGTTAATGTGTGTTTTATGGCCTAAAATGTAGTTGGTCTTGGTGAATCTTCCCTGCCAACTTGGGAAGAATGTGTATTCAGCTGTTGTTGGATGAAGTAGTATATAAATGTTAGTTAGATCAGTTGGTATGTGATGTTGTTCAGTTCAACCTTGGCCTTGCTGATTTTCTGCCTGATTAAGGGATGAAAAATCTCCAACTATAATAGTGAGTTCATCTATTTTTGTAGTCCTGTCAGTTTTTGCCTTTTTTTTTTTTTAAATCCTCACCCAAGGATGTTCACTGACTTTAGAGAGGGAGGAAGGGGGAGAGAGAGAAAAACACTGATGTGAGAGAAGCATCAATTGGTTACTTCCCATATGTGCCCCAAACAGGGATCGATTCTGCAACCTAGGTATGTGCCCTGACTGGGAATTGAACCTGTACCCTTTAGGTATATGGGATAATGCTCCAACCAACCTAGCCACCTGGGTAGGGCTTTGTCTCACTATTTTAATGCTCTTTTGTTAGGCACATGCACATTAATGACTGTTATGTCTTCTTAGAGAATTGACTTCTGCATCATCATTTAATACTTTTTTTTTATCTCCTGATAACTTTCCTTGCTCTGAAGTCTGCTCTGTCTGAAATTAACCTAACTATTCCAGCTTTCTGTTGATTAATATTAGCATGGCATGCCTTTCTCCATTGTTTTACTTTTTATTTATCTTTATATTTAAGTGTTTCTTATAGACAACATGTAGTTAGATCTTGAGTTTTTATCCACTGTGACAGTCTCTGTTTTCATTGGTATATGTTGTCTGCTGATAATTTAAAGTGATTGTTGATGATGTTGTATTAATATCTATGATATTTGTTACTGTCTTTGTATTCATTACCCTTACTCTTTTCTTTCCTGCCCTGTCACATATTTCACTTATCCATAGATGTACTTACTAAATATATAAGAGATTTTTATTTTATCCCTTTTTCTACACCTTTTAGGTCTGAGTTCTGACCTTTATCATCTTCTCTCTGAAGGACTTTTTAAAAATCTTTCTTTCCTGCAAGGCAGGTTATCTGGTGACAGATCCCCTTAATTTTTGTTTGTCTAAAAAAGTATTTCTTCTTCATCTTTGAAGAGATTATTTAGATACAGAATTGGTAGTGGGGTCTTTTTCCACACTTACTCCATCCACTCTCTGAAGAGAAGTTGGTGTGATTCTTGTCCTTGCTATCTTCTGGCTTAATATCAGTGTTGTCTCCTTGTCTGCTCTCCTGAAGTTTGACTGGTTAGATGTAGATTTTTTGTGTGTTTTTTTGCTTGGTGTTCTCTGAGATTCTTGGATCTCCGACAGTGTCTGCCACTAATTATGGAAGTTTCTCAGACATAATTACTCCCAAGTATTTCTTCTGTCCCTTTTTTTCTTTTTTCTTCTTGTAGTCTCATACGTGTTATACTTTTTGTAATTGTCCCACAGTTCTGGAACATTTCTCTCTGTATTTCAGTTCTGGAAGTTTCTATCAACATATCCTCAAGTTCGGAGATTTTTTTTTCCCCCCTAACCACGGGCAGCCAGCCTATTGATGAGCCCATCAGACAGTCTTTATTTCTGTTAGTGTTTTTCTATCTAGTATTTCCTTTGGATTCTTTCTCAGAGTTTTGATTTGTCTGCTTACATTAACCACCTATTCTTAGATGTTGTGCTTTTTTCATTAGAGACCTTAGCATATTATTCATAATTCTTTTTAATTTCTGGCCTAATAATTCAGAAATCTTTGCTGTATTTGTTTCTGGTTCTTATGCTTGCTCTGTCTTTTTCACCTGTGTTTTTTGTCTTTTAGCATGCCTTGTAATTTTTGTTAAGAGGTCAGACCTGATATACTGGGTCAAAGGAACTAAAATAAATAGGCCTTTATGTAAGGTTTGTGCTTGTCTGTCTTGGGATTAGGTATCAGAACTAAAATTTCTCTTTGTGTCTTGTTATGTCTGGGTTTCCCTAGAGACTTGTTCTTACGGGTCTGAGACATCATTTCTTTCTGCCATAACCCACCCTGTACTGGGGTTCCTGCTCCTGGACCTCTGTTCTGACAAGCAGTTATTCTTTGATTGCTCCTGTCTGACTCCTCGGTTTGGAGGACAAAAGTTCGCCCTGTGACCTCAGTTCTCTAATGGATCTAAGAATTGTTGATTTTCAGTTTTTTTCAGCTTTTTTCTTTTTAAAGATTTTATTTATTTATTTTTAGAGAAAGGAGAAAGAAGGGAGAAAGAGAGGGAGAGAAACATCAATGTGTGTTTGCCTCTCACATGCGCCCCGCCTCATTGGGGGCCTGGCCTGCAACGCAGGCATATGCCCTGATGGGGAATTGAACTGGCAACCCTTTGCTTTGCAGTCTGACGCTCAATCCACTGAGCCACATCAGCTGGCGCTTCAGTTTTTTTATTGTGAAGGTGGAGCGATGACTTCAAGCTCCTCATATGCCAGATAATAAACCAGAAGTTTAGCTTTTTATATTTGATTTTGCGTATGTGCATTATTTTTTAATTAATTAAAAATTTATTACATCTTTACCTCTGTGGTATATCTCCCCAAAACAGTAACCTTAGTGTTATTGAAAAATATCAAGACAAATCCAGTCTGAGGAACATTCTATAGCCTGTCTGACCAGTACTCTTTGGGATTGTCATGGTCATCAAAAACAGGAAGTTAGAAACAATCTAGCCGGGGCTAAGGAGACTTGATGCCTGTGTCCTGGAACATTAGGGAGAACTAGTGATATCTGAATAAAGTACGCGGTTTAGTTCATCGTAACATACCAGTATTGGTTCTTTAATTATGGCATGGTTTTATGTAAAACTTAATAGGGGAAACTGGATTCAGAGCATACAGTCACTCCTCTCAGTGCAACTTTTCTGTATATCGAAACTGTTCTAAAACAAAAGGTTTACTTCATTAAAATTTAGTTATCAGAAGTATTGGGACGATTTTACTTTGTCCTTTTTATTCTGATCTAGAACATATATTTTTCAAAGACATGTCTAAAGCTTTGTTTAGCACTTCACAAAGGATTTAACATGTTCTTTCTAGCATCACAATGGTCTTGTCAAGTAGATAGCGCAGGTATGATGACCCTTTTAAATGTGAACACATTGGTGAAGAGAGGTGGCTGCCCAGGTCCCAGCCACTGAGTGACAGGGCTGGCCTGGCAGTGCTGCCCATGCTCCTTCATCACATCTTCTAAGAAGGGGGCTATTTTGTGGCAGGTATTTAACTGTCATGCAAGATGAGGAAAGCATCTCCTGAAGGGGCTATATCTATGTTTATTTATTAAAATAATTGAAGCACCAAGAAAATTTTATAAATATTTCATTTTGATAAAGTCTTTAATGTTTTGAGCCTTTATTTTCACTTTGACATACCTGTCTCCTAAGGTTCTTTGCTGGTCTACATTGATCACCTTCTTGGAGAAGGGGCTTTTGCCCAAGTCTATGAAGTCACCCATGGAGATGTGAAGGATACCAAAAGTAAACAGAAGTTTGTTTTGAAGGTAAATGATCTGAGCAGCTTCTTGCTCAATATTGTACTTTAAAACTTGTTTGCCAACCTTGTTTTTCCTCCTCCCTCCCTCCCTACCTTCCTTCCTTTTTCTCTTTATTTTAATATAGTGGTGGTTTCATTTAGGTCTATAGCCAGCACTTAAAACCAAAACTATCCTACAAGGACTCAGAATTGCCTTGCCACTAGAATTCTGTTGCAGCAGGTTTCATACTGCAGCAACAGTATATAACTTGTCATCACTTCCCACCCCATGTTCATTGGGATGGAAGTTGCTTTCCTGCTATCATTTTCCAAAATGTGAGACTGGACTTGAATGTCACATACCTGGTTTGCAGGTCCAGAAGCCTGCCAATCCCTGGGAATTCTACATTGGGACCCAGCTGATGGAGAGACTAAAGCCCAATGCGCGACACATGTTTATCAAGTTCTATTCTGCCCACTTCTTCCAGGACGGCAGTGTATTAGTGGGAGATCTCTATAGCTATGGAACATTACTAGTAAGTGTATTCCTTTGATGATGTGGGTGTGAATGTTTTTATTGGAGTCATAGGCTGGGGCAAAGCTCTTGACCCAAAATTTCATTCCTTGACCCTTTGTAGCCAACTCAGCATTCCATTTTCCATTGTTTCCAGAATGCCATTAATCTGTATAAAAACACCCCTGAGAAAGTGATGCCTCAAGGTCTCGTGCTGTCCTTTGCTATCAGGATGCTGCACATGATTGAACAAGTTCATGGCTGTGAGATCATCCATGGAGACATTAAGCCAGACAACTTCATACTTGGAAGCAGGCAAGTGTGGTATTTTTAACAGGCTTCTCCTCTTACCATTTCCTTGGAAGACTTCATTTGTGCTTATGCAGTCTGGCCCTTGTTTGTGTTTAATACAGGTTTTTGGAACAGGACAGAGATGATGATGATTTATCTGCTGGCTTGGCACTAATTGATCTGGGTCAGAGTATAGATATGAAACTCTTTCCAAAAGGAACTACCTTTACAGCAAAATGTGAAACATCGGGTTTTCAGTGTACTGAGATGCTCAGTAACAAACCATGGAACTACCAGGTATAGCTGTAACATGAGAGACTTAGAAACATTTTTCTTAATTACACTTACTATATTTTCAAAATGAATTTGGCATCTAGTTAGTTTGAACTGCTATAGTCTTCTTTCCTGGGGTTTAGGCCATGCTTGTATTCAGTCACAAGGACATTCCACAGTGAGACGCTTTGGAGTACAGTGAGAACAGAGGCCAGGGTCCCAGGAGAGGAGTGAGGAGACCTTCTAAGGTGTCCCTGCAGGAGGGGATTAGAGTGTTGTGTTTGTCTGTGGATGACAAAACGAAAGACTTGGAAGGGCACAATATTTCAAGAACAAGGCTTTCCAAGGGGCCACCTTAGGGAGCAGTGCGTGGTTGATCCATGGAAGCTTCTGGGAAAGCCTAGGCAGGCATTCAGTAGGGCACATCAGTGGGATACTTGAACAGATGATGTCCAGATTCTTTAAAATAACATGTTGTGATTATGTACCTTGCTGAGTAAGTTACACATCTTAATATATTGTTGTGAGAATTAGTATCTTTGACATATAGAGCTATATTTTCTTTACAGATTGATTACTTTGGAGTTGCTGCAACAGTGTACTGCATGCTTTTTGGCTCTTATATGAAAGTGAAAAATGAAGGAGGAGTCTGGAAGCCTGAAGGTCTTTACAGACGGTAGGTATTAGCATTAGGTGTCCCAGTGAGAAGAAAATAAATATGGTGGAAAGATGAGTTCTGTCTGTGGGGGAAATGGATCTCTGCCACTGCATGGAAAACCCATGCTGTGGAAAGTATGGTGACATGGCAGAGTCCTGGGCACTGGAAATGGTGAGCAGGTTTTGTAGCTTCACTATTCTGCTCCCATCTGTCACAGTGGGGCAGCCAATGCCCTCGTCAAAGCAATGGAAGCCCCTGGCCAAGTGCTTGGCATCCTGTACCCACCCATTACCTGGTGTTTACTGAGCCTCCGCGTTTTGCTTGTCTTCTTGCCTATGGAAATAGAAATAATAATAATCTTGATTATCCCAGATGTTTATTATAATAAGCAAGGGAAATAATACATGTGAAAGTGCTTTGTAAATTATAAAATAATATGATGAGGCAGCTATCCATCACAAGATAGTGTTAGGTCCCACCCCTGTATGACTGTAGTGTTTCTAAGACTTTTCTCAGTGGGGTAAGGGGGGAAAATTGGGACACTGTAATAGAATAAACAAAATATTTAATGGGGAAAAGACTGTTTTCTCATCTATTAAATCAGTGGAAATTAATGACTAACCTAGGACCCTTCATTTCAACATGAATAGCTCTCTTAATATATAGTGTGTGAACTATTGGTAATATTTAAGCTGAGTGTTTGGTACATATACCTGACAAGAAAAAGACCAGTCAGCAGTAATTCAACAAAATGTAGTATCTGTACATAAATAAGTTAGGGTCCCCAGAAGAAAACTTAACAGCTGTCCTTTATTCTGCATGAGTCATCAAATTTAACAACTATTTTATTCTTTCTCTTGCTCATAAGGGAAGGACCAGAGCGTTATTCAGAAGGCTTCCATCTCTGACGAGAGAAGCCTTAAGTTAACCCCCAGCAGGCCTGATGATAATGGGCTGGACTTCCTGCCTGGAACACAAATTTTTCACCAATGCATTATCTCCATGTCCTGGATTTTTGCAGTTAACTTTAGAGCTCTGTTCTGGGCAGTCCAGCCCATCTACCTGGCCCTGGCACATAGGCAATTAGGCTGGCAGAGCCATTGACCAAATTATCAGATCCTGGCAGTACCAAAATACAGTTAGCAAAAAACAAATCAGTATTCTTTTTTAAAAAATTGAGAGAGTTTTAACACAGAAGAGCTATAGTAATTACTAAGACTACTTTTCTTAAGTCACTTTTTGGGAACAAGGTGTGTATAGACATTTAATTAGATCTCTTATTTATAAGTAGATCCACCATTCCTATTCTTGATGCATTGAGTTGCATGTAGGTGAGACTTGTTGTATGCAGCTGTCCAAAGCCTGTGGGAGTCAGAAGCAAGAGTGAGGTTGCCCTGCATGTTGAATACTACACTTTATCCTTTATTTATGTTTTGTTTTTTCAGGCTTCCTCATTTGGATATGTGGAATGAATTTTTTCACATAATGTTGAATATACCAGATTGTCATCATCTTCCATCTTTGGATTTGTTAAGGCAAAAACTGAAAGAAATATTTCAACAACACTATACAAACAAGATTAAGACCCTCCATAACAGGCTAATCGTACTGCTCCTAGAATATAAGCGTTCTCGAAAATAAGATATGGACACTCCTGAAAAAATCACTTTGTAAATGCTGGCCTGCTCGCTTTGAGCCTTAATGTCTCCACATTCATTCTTTGTGTAAATGTTTCTTTTTAAAAAGTCTGCAAAATAGATAGATGAGATTGTTTTGCTATTGTCATATTTCAACAAAGTACATATAATAAGGTCCCTGGGTAGCAGGGCTGCTCTAGGGACATAAACATTCATGAGTAGAATTGGGATATGAACATTCTCTAAAATCACTTTTAAACACTGACCTGTTCTCTTTAAGGCACAAAGTGGCCAAAACAGCTTCTCTCCCCCTACCCCACTAAATTTGAGGGTTTATATTTGTGTAAAAAAATTTCCCAAACATCCAAGGGACTCAGGTTCTATGAATAAAATTTGTCTTTTACTGCCTGTTCTTCATTGCTGTCTATAGGAAATAAAGAGATAAATCTTACACCTCTTCATTATTTAAAATTACCATTCAAAGGAATATCTCACATCTTGAAAATAGTCTTACAAGCGATATAAGTCATTAAATTAGCCCTAAAATTAAGCAACCAACTTAGTATTTATTGATGTTAAAAGCTGGAAGGGTCCTGTAACCTGAACTTACCTTCCTCCACCTTTCCCTCCTCCTTTGTTAGCATTATGAGGAAAATGGATCTGAGGCAGCGCTCAGTTCGAGAATCCAAGCGTGCAGGCAGGACCACCTCGTCGTCCTACACTTAATCCCACTCTGTGTTCCCCCTTCCAGAGGCTACCAAGACCCATGTTGTGTGAGTTCCTTGAAATGTTTCTATGCGTATTTTTTAACAACAGAATTCTGCTTTCTTTCTACTTAATGTATAGTAGAGAGTAACTACATATAGCATGGTCTCATTCTTGTTAATGTCTGTAATACCTGATTATATGATATACCTGTAAATTCCTAGAAGCAAAATTGCTGGGTTAAAGGTGACCGCATTTGATATTTTGTGTCAGTATGTGCAAATTGCCCCCAACAGGGACTGTGCCACCCTGCATGGATCTTTGTTTACCTCATCTCCACTAATATCGTAGCTCAGTAACCTTTCCTGCTGTGACAGGTGAAAAATGGGATTTCCTTCTGGTCTTCATTTGCATTCTCTTGTGAATTATGCCAAATATATTTATATTCAAGACTTCTGTGTTTTCCTGACAGCTGTATCCTTTGTGCACATTTCATTTGGATTGTTCCTTTTCCAGTTAATTTGTAGAAGCCCTTGGTATATGAGATGCATGTTTGTCCCATTTTATCATCTGTTTCTTGACTTAAGATTTCTGTTTCCATAAAATTAAAATCTTTTGTACTTTAATTTATAGAAATTTTAAATGACTTTTCCTTTCATTTTTGGCCTTTGTGTCTTATAAATGCCACTGTCAGTTCAGAAATGAGAAAACAAACTCCTAATTTTTTTTTTTTAATTCAGTTACAGTCTTCCTGCTGTTTTCCCCATTGCTCACCTCTGCCATCTCCTGTGCACTCCCACGGTCAGTGCCACCCCGTTGTCCATGCTTACGTGTCCTCTATTTGTGTTCCTTTGTTTACCCCTGCCCCTTCTTCCTCCTGTTATTCCCCTGCCCCTCCCCTCTGGTCACTGTCAGTTTGTTCTTTATCTCCAAGTCTCTGGTTCTGTTTTGCTCATTTGTTTTGTTGATTAGGTTCCACCTCTGGTAAGATTATATGGTATTTGTCTTTCATCACCTGGCTTATTTCACTTAGCATAATGTTCTCCAGTTCCATCCATGTTGTAACAAAAGGTAGGAGTTCCTTCCTTCTACTGCATAGTATTCCATTGTGTAAATGTGCCACAGTCTTTTGATCGACTCATTTGTTGATGGGCACTTATGCTGTTTCCAGCTCTGAGCTATTGTAAATAATTCTATTATGAACATAGAGATGCATAGGTTCTTTTGAATTGGTGATTCAGGTTTCTTAGGGTATAGTCTCAGTAGTGTAATTGCTGGATAAAAAGACAGTCACATCCTTAGTTTTTCTGAGGAAACTCCATACTGTATTCCACAGTGGCTACACCAGTCTGCATTCCCACTAACAGCATACTATGGTTCCCTTTTCTCCACAACCTCACGAGTACTTGCTGTTTGTTGATTTGTTTATGATGGCCATTCTGACCAGTATGAAGTGATACCTCATTGTGGTTTTAATTTGCACTTCTCTGATGCCTAGTGATGCTGAGCATCCTTTCATATGTCTCTGGGCCCTGTGTATGTCCTCCTTGGAGAAGTGTCTGTTCAGTTCCTTTGCATTTTTTTAAATTGGATTGTTTGTCTTCCTGGAGTGGAGTCATGTGAGCTCTTTATATATTTTGGAGATCAAACCCTTGTCTGAGGTATCATTGGCAAATGTATTTTCCCATATGGTTGGTTCCCTTTTCATTTTGCCAATGTTTTCTTTAGCTCTGCAGAAGCTGCTTACTTTGATGAAGTCCCATTTGTTTATTCTTTCATTTATGTACCTTGCCCTAGGGGACATATTGATGAAAATATTGCTGCGTGGAATATCTGAGAGTGTCCTGCCTATATTCTCCTCTAGGACTTTTATGGTGTCATGTTTTATATGTATGTCTTTTATCCATTTTGAGTTTATTTTTGTGTATGATGTAAGTTGGTGGTCAAATTTTATTTTTTTGCATGTAGCTGTCCAGATCTCCCAACACCATTTGTTGAAGAGGCTAGTTTTACTCCATTTTATACTTCTGTCACCTTTGTCTAATATAAATTGATCATAGAGACACGGGTTTATTTCTGGGCTCTATTCTGTTCCATTGATCTATGAGTCTGTTCTTATACCAAACTGTTTTCATTACAGTGGCCTTGTAATATAGTTTAATTTCAGGTATTGTGATCCCTCCTACTTTGTTCTTTCTCAGAATTGCTGCAGCTATTCAGGGTTGTTTATGGTTACATACAAATTTTTGAAATGCTTGTTCTATATCTGTAAAATACGTCATTGGCATTTTAATTGGGATTGCACTGAATCTATAAATTGCTTTGGGTAGCATGGACATTTTGATGATGTTAATTCTCCCTATCCATGAAGATGGTATATGCTTCCATTTATTTGTGTCTTCCTTAATTTCTTTCTTCAGTCTTGTGTAGTTTTCTGGGTACAGGTCTTTTTCCCCCTTGGTTAAGTTTATTCCTAGGTACTTTATTTTTCTTGTTGCTATAGCAAATGGGATTTTTTTCCTGATATGATTCTGATATTTCATTGTTGGTGTACAAAAATGCCTTTGATTTCTGAATATTGACCTTGTATCCTGCTGTTTCACCAAATTCGCTTATCAGGTTGAATAGTCTTTTGGTGGAGTCTCCAGGGTTTTCTATGTACTGTCATGTCACCTGTAAACAATGACAATTTTACTTCCTCCTCTGCAATTTGGATGCCTTTTATTTCTTTTTCTTGTCTGATCACTGTGACTAGGACTTCCAATACTATGTTGAATAGAAGCAGTGAAAGTGGACATCCTTGTCTTGTTTCTGATCTTAGTGGGAAAGCTTTTAGGATTTGTTCGTTCAGTATGATGTTGGCTGTAGGTTTTTCATATGTGGCCTTTATTATGTTGAAGTATGACCCCTTTACTCCCACTTTGTTGACTCTTTTTATCATAAATGGATGTTGTACCTCATCAAATGCATTTTCCCCATCTATTGATATGATCATGTGATTTTTGTCTTTCCTTTTGTTTATGTGATGTATGTGATGTTTATTGATTTGTGAACATTGAACCATCCTTGCAACCCTGGAATGAATCTCACTTGATCATGGTGGATGATCTTTTTAATGTATTCCTGGATGCAATTTTCTAGTACTTTGTTAGGAATTTAGGGTCTATGTTCATCAGCGATATTGGCCTGTAGTTTTCTTTCTTTCTTGTGTTTTTATCTGGTTTAGGGATTAGGATTATGCTGGCCTCATCAAAAGAGTTTGGGCGTCTTCCCTCTTGGATTTTTTTGGAGTAGTCTGAGAAAGACAGAGGTTAGCTCTTCCTTAAATGTTTTGTAAAATTCTCCTGTGAAACCGTCTGGTCCAGGGCGTTTGTGTGCCAGGAGTATTTTGATTACTGCTTTAATTCCACCAGCTGTTACTGGTTTATTCAGGCTTTCTGCTGCTTCTTCATTCAGTGTTGGAAGGTTATATTTTTCCATAAATTTGTCCATTTCACCCAGGTTTTCAAATTTCTTGGCATATAATTGTTCATAGGAATTTCTTACAATTGTTTTTATTTCTGTGGTATCAATTGTGATTTCTCCTCTTTCATTTCTGATATTTATTTGGGTCCTCTCCGTTTTTGCTGAGTCTACTTAAAGAGTTATTGATTTTGTTTACTTTTCTGAAGAACCATCTCCTGGATTGGTTGAGCCTTTGAATAGTTCTTTTAGTCCCTCTGTCATTTAGTTCCGCACTGATCTTGATTATTTCCTTCCTTCTACTCTGGGCTCTGTTTGTTGTTGTTTCTCTAGTTTTTGAAGATGTAGGGTTAGGTTGTTTATTTGAAATGTTTCTATCTTTCTTAGGTAGGCCTGTATTGGTAGGGACTTCCCTCTCAGGACTGCCTTCGCTGTGTCCCGTAGGTTTTGGACTGTTGTTTGTTCATTTTCATTTGTTTCCAGAGACTTTTTTATTTCTTCTTTCATCTTATTGACCCATTCATTTTTTAATAGTGTGCCATTCAGTCTCCATGAGTTTGAATTTTCCGTTTTTCTCATTCACCCTTTAGTCCAAGAAAATGCTCATTATAATTTCAGTTTTCTTGAATTTGTTGAGGCTTGTTTTGTGTCCTATCATGTGGATCCATTCATTTTTTAATAGTGTGCCATTCAGTCTCCATGAGTTTGAATGTTTTTGAGTTTTTTTCCTTGAGTTTGGTTTCTCATTTCAAGCCCTTGTAGTCCAAGAAAATGCCCGTTATAAATTCAGTTTTCTTGAATTTGTTGAGGCTTGTTTTGTGTCCTATCATGTGTTCT